GCAGAAACAACCCTCTCCTGGCAAGTTACATTACACACATGACCATAGAAACCCCCATTCCATTCAGCTTAAAATATTGAGCTAATTGGAAATCATCATTGATGGGATTACGTAACTAATTGCGTAACCTGATCAGTAACTCTTGCTATCTTCGACTTGCAGAATGTTCCAAACTTTTGCAGAATCCTATTTTTCGCTGGAAAACAGATATGAAGAGAGAGAGTAAACCAGGCATCGTTATAGATGTGTTCAATTTTTATTCTTAGTAGCTTAGTGTAAGAAAACTGGTCATCAATCACACAAAACACTGACCATTTCTATGTCTGTGAAAATTTATATTGAGATAGTTGGGCAAGATGAATGTTTCTATCAAAAGTTTACTTGTGTTTATTCACTGAAATAGATCTGTGCCTTCTCCCTTAATACACAGCGAATGGAATATTTTACAAAGAATGAATTACTAACGTTTAATATTAAGCTTTAAATCAAACTTTGATATGATCTTTTTAATATATTTGTATATGACAGAACTGACTAAATGGAACATTTTGTAAAAAGAAGATTTGAAACACGAAATGATTATAAGTCTGGAAAAGGAAATAATCAATGGTAAACATTTGGTGTACAAAATGAGACTGAGAGAATGAGACTAGAAAGACAAAAAGGGAATAAATTTGGGTTCATCTCTTTTGAGAAATTAGTATTTGATGTGACAGGTCTATTTTAAGTGATCCTTCAGTTGAAATCTTGGTCTCTATTGGGCATACCGTCTGCATTTATTGAATATTACATCATGCTGATCACATGACATGTAACTTTCATCTCTCCCCCAATTCATATTAACAAGTTCATTTTATAAAAATTATCTTCTATTGTGGACATAGAAATGATTGACGTGACGACAACTCAAGGTCAACAACAAGGAGACAAATGGAGAAAGTTCTTTGACAAATGGCCTCTTCAGGGATTAAAAGATGTTGATGTAACTATGGTTGCCTGCAACATAACAGTTCCATGTGTTCAGGATTTTGATACCAGATTTATCTGCTAGAACATTTTTTTTTCTCTGCCCGCTTTGCTGATTGTTTTGTTCATTGGCTTTGTTAAAACATTTTGACATGTTGCCGTGAGCCATTTTGGTTCAAATATTTGATGTTTCTTATAAATCCTAGTACAAGTTTGAAAGACTGTAGAACATTATCTAAATTAGTTCCAATGTTTGATCGTGTAACTAAGCATCTTTTTTTTTTAAATCCACAACTATTTGACAAAAAACGAAAGAGCAGAAAGTGAGCTGTAGTTTATTGATTGTTGATTGTAGTTTAAGTACATGTATTTTACTGATTAACGTATTACAAGTTTTCGTATCATTTGATTGTTAATGTTGGTGAATTCATAGTTTCTCATAATTTTCAAACATTTCTATTATGCACATTTTAACAGTTACACCACCAGTGACTTTATTAGATAAACGTTGTAATAAAGTTAGATTAAAAGGCTTTTAATCAAGTGTACACACATGAATTAAAAATGAGTGAAGAGCTTGGTATTTATTACTACCAGTAGATGGCTATGGATTGATAATCTTCTCAAAGATATAATCATTGATGTGTACTCTGTTTAGCTAAATTAAACTCAATTTTCACATAGATATTATTGGGTTTAGATATACTAGAGTAATAAATACTTATGAACCCCATTTATGCTGGAAATATTGCGCAGCATTTTCAAGAGTGTAAATGGGTTGAATCAAGACTGGACCATAACTAACCGACCAAAGTGAGGTGGTCTTAATCTGGATTCAAGTACAGTTCTGTAAAAATTTTGGTTATTTAAATTGAAAAGAAGTCTGGCCTGGTTATTTCAGTACATATGCGTTTAGTCATTACTGCATTACCAGCAAGTCCTTGACCATAACAAATTGTTCTATGAAGAACAGTTCTGGCACTGATATAAATGTTTAGTTACACCATCATATCCTGTAAAATTGTGTATGGATGGATATATCATTATTGGGGACCAGAACTTGAAGAGTACATTTTATAGGTGTCCAGAGTATATGGAGTTATATATGAGTTCAGTTAGTGTATGAATTGTTAAAACTGGAAGTCATTATGACGCCGGATGGTTAATAGGAATAATTACTGCTCAGTTATTGAAGTCCTTTATTTATTTCAGTCATTTTGTTTTATTATCATCAGCAGATCAATGTTGTTAATGATTAGTAATGTGTCTTTATAAGGCTGTTTTATTCTTTAAGTAAACAATATACGCAAAATAATCAATACATTTCATTAAGACCCATTTAGCAGCCGAGTGTTAATACCTAGCATAGAAACTGGAACTATTCTGCATACGACCTCTTTCAAACAATGTGTCTCACATTAAGCATGTGAATGGTCATATAATGAAAGATTTGGTGATTATTGTAGATTAGAAAGTTGAAGATATTGTCTATTATAGAATAAAATTGTGATGATTTAAGCAGGTAGTTACATCTGATCAATCAATACTCATTATTTATCATTCGTGGACTTTTTCACTCTTTTCATGACAATGATTTTACATTTTTACGTTAACAACTTATTTATAGATTTTTATATAATTAGGCGTCATTGATTCTTATTTGGAATTCTTGGTATCAATTAGCATAACTGATAGTAAAAGTTCATAAGGATAAGGACAAATGAAAGTCAATAATGACTGATGAGGTAATGAGCTTTCAGATTTTAAAATCTTGATTATATTTTCTTTTTTGATTTTTTTTTTTTTTTTTTTTTTTTTGCTATTTATTGAAGTGAACCATTTTTTCCTCTGTGTAACACAGTACAATAATTTGGTTCAGCTGCTTCAGGAAGCATGCTAAATTTAAATATAAGATTACATCCTAAGCCTTGACGATTTTGTTATTATTAAAGTGAGAAATATTGATTTCTATTGTCAATTTTCTCTTTATGGAATTATATTTTCTCATTGTGTGCTAAAGTTGGTTTGATATTTTATTAATTTAAGTTCTTATCTCCTCACAACATTATTCACTTATACTGTAGGGATTTGTTAGATGATCATTATAGTATTTAATTGATCAATTTATCTATTTAAAAGTGTCTATATAGAGAATAGGCTGGAATCTACTTGTTTTACAATCAATGTTTATTAGAACATATTTTTGATCTCTAATGAAATTGAGTTAATGAAATACATTAAGACTGTCTGTTTTATTTATGTATAATAAATATAATATAGAGCCAAGAGATACAGCAATGGAATGTAGAAATATAATGATTGCTAGATATATGTACTAGAGTAGGACTAGAACTGTTTCACCCCTATTGAATCAGATATTTATAGAATGTAGTAGACTCTACCTGCAGTGCTGATTATAAGACACCAGTTTGTCTACTCACATTCCTGCTGTAGTTTCTTTTATAATAATATAAAGGTCATGTTTATTGTGGTAATCTTTGGCAAGATTGTCCAAAACTTTCATTTTATTAGTCATCCTAGTGATCATATGTCATTTCAGACTGCCATGACTCGACCCTTTTAGTAAACTATTATAGCTCCCATAGTGATCTTTAGTTTTCTGAAAAACTGATTCTTTCTTCAATTATGATTACAAAAGAAGCTCGATCAGGAATTTTATTGTTCCATTATATTTCACAATTTGGTAAATTATTTTAAAATATCTGAAATCCTGTTGCTTCTGCTGCTTGTTTGATATTAATGTGCAGAACAGCAGGACGTTAAACCCCATTTCAATATTAATGCCAGATCTTTTCCGGGGAATAAAATTAGCTGAAAATTTCAAACAAATAAAAAACAGCTTAGTATCTTGGATGCATTCACATCCAGACAGACAATAAAACCAGGGAGAATGCTGATGAAAAGGGTTTTTTTTTTGCTTGAAAATAGAATTTATTAGACTGGTAACTAATTTCATATTGGATCAAATGATATAAAAGTATTGTTTGATGTTATATTGTTATATAAACATAGGCTTCTAATTTAATTATAATCAACTCTGTTCAGTTAAAATATTGATATATTTGAGAAGGAAGTACAATTTAATTAATGATTAAACTAGACAATTTGTGTTAATTAGATATTTCTGAAAAAAATGATATGGTTACTCCAGAGCAAAATTAAATTTGATGTCATGCTTGACTGAGATTTCTGCTTGATAGCACTCTAATGATTTAATTGGCCTTCCCTTCAATATCAGACATCTTCAAACATCAATTTATTCCTTAGTGACAATCAAGTGTGTGGTTGTCTCTAAGCCTTTTTTCAATAAAATTTTAAGTTGTTCTGTCCTGGGAAATTGTTTCTCATAGAATAGAAATATGACAACCATGTTCCTTAGATCTTTAAATTAGGATTTAAAAAAAATCTGTTCAAAAAGTCAACTTTTGAGAAAAAAATCCAAAATGTTATTCATGAATTGTGTAAAATGTCTTTTGAGCAGCAGTATCTTATTTTCTGTCAATAAAACACAGCATTACAACTTTTTTTCAGTGTGGAAGTTTAGTTGCCTCATTTGTTGCTATTGACTACCAGTAATCTTTACAACATTATTTGAAACATGTTTTGTTGTTATTTTGGGGATGTTGGGTGTAGATATGTGAACTACGCATGTCAAGGGTCGATCCCAGGATTGAATATAACAAGGAATAGGGTCCCTGCCTAACTCAGAGGGTTCTCTAGGTTTTTACCTTTTTCTGGGGGGTTGGGTGACTGAATGGTTAACGTGTGTGCGTTGTGACATAAAGTCTGTCATTGAGTCAAGTGGTGTGGTTTCGATTCCCCGATTGTACGTCGCAACAAGTAGGGTCGCCTGTCCAACCCTTTGTGTTTACTCCGGGTCTTCCAGTTTCCGCCCACTGCTAAAGAATATATTGGTTCTGAAATGACCTGATTAGTGTTGAGTTGATGTTAAATCCATTTCTCTCTGGTTGATATTTGAAAATTGTATATCTTTATTTCATTTTATTTTTCAGATAACCAAATTGAAAGTACACGATTGTAGTCAATATAAAACTTGCTATGATTGTTTGGGTGCCAAGGATCCTTTCTGTGGTTGGTGTTCTTTTGAAGACAAGTAAGTTCCAGTATTCTGTTCCTGTTTAAAGATATCTAATCCAGACATGGATTGAAGTTGTCACACTAACACTTGTCATCACTTGTATTTGGTTCTTGTTTTTTTTATAACCCAGTTCCTGGTGAAACTTTAACCTTGGTTGCATTTTATAAAGTTCTACTTGAATACATTTAACAAACAATGTTATTGACGCCAAAACATTTCCCTGTGGTTACTTGTATTGGGTGGCATATAATGCTCAGGAGCCAATCAGCAGTTAATATTGCCCCCTGAATGCAAAGGTTCAATTGGGGTAGTTAAAGTTTTCCTTGTGTTTGGAAGATGAGGTTCTCCATGTTTTTTTTAGGTCCATTCAGAGGCATAAAACTCAGTGGCTTGTTTATAACTCAAATGTTATAAAATTAGGTTAAAAGAGATATCGAGTCACCCTAACTATTTGCCCCTTGTTTGAAACTGAATAATAATAATATTTATAGCACAAAATAGCATGTTAAAATTTTATTGTACAATTAGTATTTGTTTTTGCAATATTTTAGGATTTTGCATTGTTTTGGAACACATTCATAATAGCCAGTATTGTATGTGTCTGTGATTGCTAGAAATTTCCAAAACATTTGATTCTGATCGCATGATACACATAGACGGCTGCTTATAATTGTCTCTGTAAATTATGTTTTGAAACCCAGATATATTACAGAATTATAAAAGCATGTCTTTTCATCCTACTGGTATGAATTGATCAATTTGCTTTAGATTTGTTGATAATTTTTTTTAGTACCGTAATACATGTATTCTTTCTCTTTAACTGTTTTGTTTAAATATAACATTTATTTTTTTTTTGCTAAACAAAGGGAGAGACGTGTTGATTTGTAAGTACCAAGTCTACATGTTGTAACCTTATAAAATAAATACCCTGTGGCTTCTCTTTATATTTTCTAATTATGAGATGTTAGTCTCAACTTGCACATTATAATAGTGGTATTTGTAGACAAACAGATTAGGCTGTATGGGGGAATGTATCAGTAAAAAGGCTTGATGTTCATTCTTGGAGTATTTTTACTTTTATCTTTATACGAAACATGTCGCCTATATAAAGCAGTCGTCAAAGGTGCCTTGTATATCGAACACACTGATAACAAAGATAATTTAGTTGTAAAATAGAAGCTTTGATACAATCCTTAAGTTCAAGATTTTTACCCTTAGTGAAATAGTGTTTCACTAGGGGTTGATATTTGAACCGTTAGTGAAAGAATTATTTAACTAACAGTTTGAAGGGATATGAGAAAGCTTCTACTTTGATTAACTTTATATGTGACAAACAAATTATTATGATCTATTAATAGAAGGGTGTAGTATACCTATCATCATTGCTGTAACATTTCGGGAAATAGATAATAGTTCACGCTTTATGTAATTGCATGAATATGAATGGCTTTAGTAAAATTTGAATGTTGTAATCCTTGTTTTTCTGTTTATCATCATATTTATTTTTGCTTGTATAAAACTTTATAGAAGAATTTTATTAACAATACTAGGAATTAGTTTGGTATACTTGACATGTATAATGCAACACTGATTAATATTGCACATTTTCAGATTGATTTTGATTTTGAAATTTTGATGCTTTAGGGGAGTGTGGAAGAATATTCTATGTGCACTGTTGATATCATTTGGGGTTGGGGTTGATTTGTGACATTGAAATGTGATAATAATAATCATCTGTCTGATGTCATTTATTCTTGTAATATAAGTTGAAAAGTCAGATTGATTGTCTATTCTTTTTGCTAACCTCTTCGGTCTGAGTCTTACCTGGAAGCAAATTATTTAAATGTTTTTCCTATAATGAACGTGTCTTAAATAGATATTAAATATGTCATTTGTTCCAATCTTTTAAACAATTTGTATATATTTTCAAGATGGGTGAGGAGAAGAAGCCCATAAATTTTCATTAATTTAGGAGTTTTAATAAACATTTATTGCCCATTTTTATCCATGTTGTCTGCCCATAATTTCTTGTAAATACTCTATATCTCTGTTTTTAATTTCACAGGGATTGTTCATGGGCCAAAGAGGGTAGATGACATTTGACTCTTAAAGCTATGAACATATTACAGGACAAGATTATGACTGGAATTCTTTCAAACTTGATTGAATTTATTTTTTCCTTTAAATTTGTTGACATTGATTCTAGAGATAGTGTGGGCATCTTTACTTGTGTTGGTGTATTAAGATTCCCCTGACAAGACTATGTTATATAAAAGAAGTGAATATGGTAGATTCACATTATCTTGTGATGTCTTAGATAATGGTTGGTAGTTGATCTACAAATATTCAGTAACAGTCTCTGGTGACTACTTGGCTAATAGCAATCATTGACATTCATTGCCATTCTTCAATTCTCAACATATTCTTTCTGAATCTTGAATGTTTTCAAGTACCAAAGATCATTAGATGTGTGTCTAGATGGCTTCATGATGAACTTCTCTCATGTCCCCAGTTCGTTATTTTACATAACAACTCAGTTCTGCTTTGCAGAATTTTTGTCATATGTCATTAGTTGTGTTTGCATCACGGCCCATGCGTTGTTTACCAATTTGAAATGATATTGAATTCTCACAGTACTTCAGTTCCTTATGGCAGTTGTTCGTCTGTAAAAGTTGACGAAGATTCTAATGAAAAATATAATCTTGCTGTAATGTGTGACTGATAGAATGACAGCATGGATAATTAGTATTGAACAAGTTGCAGTTGGTCCCATGGAGTCAATTGATCAAATTAAAGAGATGGTTCTAATTAGACAAACTACTTGCTTCTTCACAAACTGATAAATTTGAATGATGGCCTCAAGATTGCTTTTTATTGTCTGTTCAACATTTTTCATGTAAAAAACATAAAGACCATACCCATGGTCATGGCAGGTGTTGAACTCGGCCAATTTTCTCAAGCTTTGGGGATTGTATTGGAGATAAAAGAAGCATACTACATGTTGCTGTGGGTTGATTAGCCTGTACCTAGAGTGTATCTTATTACCACTGGCTTCAATTCCACCATATTCATCATTATGATGGCGGCAGATTTTATCCATAAATTCCATAGGGTTTTTTCAGCTTGAATGATAAGTTCATTTTACATAATCTCCTAATACCAGTTTTGGCCATTTATACAAATTATCCATGCTTGACTTTCTTCACTCAAAAATACAATTGGGAATAGTGCTACATGAGATGGACATGGAAATTACATAGCGAGCAAATAATGACAGATCACATTGCTCATAAAACACACTGATAGCTCCTACGTTACAAGCAAAAATAATACAAACATAAAATATGTTCAAATGATGAAGTCATCAAGATAGGCGATTTCAATAAATCATACGCACTATTCAAAGATGCACATTTTTATTATTTTTTTTTATTTGGTATTTATTCATCATCGGTACAGTTATATCTTGATGAAGAGTTTTTACACGGTATTGGTATTAAACTGATCTGCAGACGACTGACAGGCGTGATTAATACCAACAAATCAATACTTATCCATGCAAATATGTCTAATCACTTGTAATTATATTGGCATGTTTGACCAGTGCTTCTCTCATTAATTACTTGTGACAGTTGAAACTCTGACAGTTTCCAACACATCAAAATACTGTTTAAATATTCTATATTCTGACATACTGAATTGTATGTGGAATGGTGCATCATACTTTATTCTGCCCTGATGTAATTACAATTGTTTATGTCAGTTTAAAGGTTTGAACATCCATCATTTTTACCCGTGATTCATGAATTTTGATCAGTTGCCATTAATCTTTGACCTAAGGTTGACTACATCAAATGACTCTTAAATTATTGGAATTAGTTAAATAATATTTGATAGAAGCAGCCATGCTTGGCTACAATGCTACTTGATGATTGTATCGCAAAAATTCACTTCCTTTTTCCTTCTCTCTCTTTTTGAGGAATGCGTCATTAGATTAAATGTATGCTTCTGACTTCTTTTATGATTTTAATGTTGAACTGTGGTGCAAACTACAAGTTTTTTTAATGGCTAGTTTCAAGGCAATATGGTACCAAAATATTACTCGATTCCTTTTGAATTTGTATAAAGGATGAACTTGCCGATAGTATAGAAAAAATAATTTGTTCTGCCTATTAACACTTGATGACAACTACTGATTGTGAAAACTCGTGTTTTAACAATCAATGCCTGCAAGCACATCTTCTGGGTTCGATCTCATCTCGTTCAAACATTGAAAATGCTTCACGTTTTGCTTTGTATTATAGTTTTAGTAGACTGTCTCGCACAGTATATATTTATCTTCAAATCAGTGTCAATAATTGTTCCTATTGTTAATTTCCTCATCTTCCATCCAACAGTTAAAAAGTTTTTCATCAATTCTACCATGGTCAAGAGTTATTTCAGTCGCTGAAGATTGCTTTCACTTCAGCCGATCAATATGCCAAACGTTTTTCTTCTTCTTGAAACAAGTTAAAGATAACATAGAATGTTGATAGGCTGATGACTTAATAGCTAGACAGGTTTAAGCTACATTTTCTCTAATTGTTGATATTGCTATTATCTCGCACCTTGATGGTAAGACCAAACAACTCTTTTCATTCCAACCAAATAATCTCACAGGTTTTTACAGTAAACTTATTACGCTTTTATTTCTAACCATAGTTGAATTTAATGTTTTACTACCAAATAAAGATTACTAATGTAAATTTGACATTTATTCGCTTAAATACTTTTGTTATAAAATAAAATAACCGTAATGATCTTGTCTGTCTTTAAAACATGTAATCATCCTAGATTTTGCTTTGTTTTGTGTCACTTTAAAACTATGCTTAAAGAAGATATCCATCGACTAATGCTTAAAATTCATATTTAATTGGATGTCACTTTAAAACTATGCTTAAAGAAGATATCCATCGACTAATGCTTAAAATTCATATTTAATTGGAAGAATATTTTTTTCCCTATTGTGTTCAAATATTGGATACCGTTTTTCAGTTAATTTTAAACCTGTATTGTGCAATTTTTGTCCCCCGCCTTTCGAAGAAAGCAGGGGACTATTAAAATGGGTTCGTCCGTCTGTCTGTCTGTCCGTCACACTTTTTGGGACACAATAACTCTCTTCCTCATTGAGCTAGAATGTTCAAACTTGGTGTATGTGTTTATTAGGTCAATGCCTTGATGGAGTTCGAAGATGAGCATTTTCCGCTTAGGGTAAGCAGAGATAAGCAATTTGATTGGTTGATGCTTTGGGACACGATAACTCTCTTCCTAATTGGGCTAGAATGTTCAAACTTGGTGTATGTGTTGATTAGGTCAATGCCTTGATGGAGTTCGAAGATGAGCATTTTCCGCTTAGGGTAAGCAGAGATAAGCAATTTGATTGGTTGATGCTTTGGGACACGATAACTTTTAATTGAGCTAGAATGTTCAAACTTGGTGTATGTGTTTATTAGGTCAATGCCTTGATGGAGTTCGAAGATGAGCATTTTCCGCTTAGGGTAAGCAGAGATAAGCAATTTGATTGGTTGATACTTTGGGGCACGATAACTCTCTTCCTAATTGAGCTAGAATGTTCAAACTTGGTGTATGTGTTGATTAGGTCAATGCCTTGATGGAGTTCGAAGATGAGCATATAGTTTATGCTTTAGTTCTTGAAGAAGCTTTCCAATGTATTACCCCTGTAATTCCTCCTCTTTTATCTGTACAATATTTTCGAAAAAAATGAAACGAAATCCACTTATGTATACATTTAGGTTACATTATAGCCTACATGTCCCGACTCAACTTGCCACATTACATGTCATAATATTATAACCAGGTATTGATAAAAGCATCAATTGAGCAATTCCAATACAATCCAATACAATGAATATAGGCAAGGTAAATAAACAAATAAATGGAAAAAACAAATTGAAAAAGAAACTATTATAAATTAATTAAATATGTAGTATGCAATAATGAATTGACATTTAATGACAGAAAGAAAACAGTGAACTTTGCACAACTTGCAGCAAGATGGAAAATAGACCCGTTGATACAACCAAACTCTAGATCTGTAGGCATAGAGCATGTTTTCCCCTTAATATGCTATAATTATTCCATCAAAAACATTGTATGCTTAGACTATAAGTAAAGATATACTGTTTGATTGTTCAATACTTTGTAAAAGATAATTTGTGATAAATTTATATGTGTCCTCTAATTATTTTCCTATTTCGGCGGGGGACATCAGCCTCACTGTTGGCTTGTTGTATATTCATTTCAATGTTCTGGAGAAGTTATTGTTTAAGTTATAGTTTTAGATAGGAGGAAAGGATTAGTTTTCAGTGAATACCTTTGAGTTACCTTTATGCATGTTTTTGGTGAAAGCCAAAAGCCATGTATTGTCTCATCATAAAATAAGATAATTTGAGGTCATTCTAAAACCACTCCCTTCCAAATATAGATAAGACTTGCAATGTTGTGTTACCTTCAGATAACATTATTTCAATAACAAAATACTTCTACTTATTCAAAATTTCACAGTTTGTCATTTGAGAGGTAGGAATAGAACTAGATTGTAGCAGGATTAACATTTTATGCCCAGCTATTGACTTACTCCCCTTACAGGGAAAAGCAAGTTGCCTGTGAACTCTTCCATAATTGATATCAGAATTTGACAAAACACATGGAGTAATTAATTGCCCACAGGATCAGATACCTTAAAGGACCATTGAAAATTGAAAGATTACAGACCATCTGCCAGTAATTTACAGATATATTGTAAATGTGAATAATTTGACTCCATGTTGTTTTAGCATGGTTTCTGGTATTTCTGGTCATTCCATATATCTGTAGTCAAGATCATCAAGCTGATTGATAGATACCAATAAATAATGTTAACTTTGTTCATAATTATACTGTGCATTACTCTTCTACCATAGCCTTGCTGAGTGACAGTCATGAGCATTGAAAACTTAATGGTCCTATATATTTCTGAATTCTGACTCTATTTTATGAAACATGCACGTAAAAATTGTTGAGAGTCGTTATTATAATAAATTGTGTATTCTGGCATCTCCTATTATTTGTATAAATAAACTTTTGTAAACGTTTGATACTGCTTCATTATGGCCAGCAATGTAAATAAATATTTTTATTTACACAGATGCCAAGACCAGGATTTGTTTGCTTTTTAGACACGAAAGTGCAAAAAAATGTAGGACAACAACTTAAGATTCATGTTTAGAGAGTTCATGTTGAGTAAGATAATAAAAAGAAGGGACTCCAAACACATGATTCATGTTAAGATAAAAATATATTCTAAATTGTTGTAGATAAAAATATATTCTAAATTGTTGTAATTAGAGGGTAACTGTATGATAAATTTATTTCTAATTATTGTATTTTAACGTAAAATGTTTTACAATCTAGCTTAATCATTGAATGTTGCGTTATGTTTACAGCTTATAATTTTACTTTAGGTACTAGATAGCGAAAATGGCAACTATCTTTTGTGTAGCATTATTTATCTAGTAAAATACTATGTTTCCACCTCTTTCATTTAAAATAGCTAAACCTCTCTGATATGGGTATGAACAATTTTTTGGGGCGATTTCATGGATTTTTATATGTTGATTTTTTGTGGAATCTGTCTGTTGAAAATATTACATCAATAGATTTAGCCAGTGTTGAGATAAAACCAATTTGGGTTCCACCATCAACATAACAATGATTTAAATTTTAAAAAAAAAAACAATTACCGTAACAAACCAGTCGACTTTCGTTTCATCTTTTGAAACAAAGATTTAATCATGAAGAGCCTTGACCCATCATTGATTGAAATAACTCTATTTTGACTTATATCAAAGAGGATTAGCTCATTTTAAGTCTCTGATTGTCATTTGAAGGATATTTAATCTCTTGAAAGGCAGCGTCACATAAAATCTTCACCAAAATGTTTTGATGCACCTCTTTTTTATTCCAACAATCCAAGAGATGATCTAGCATTTATATTATGAATTTTGAATATGTTAGAGATCTATTTGACTGTTTTACTACTTTTAATCATTGACTATAAACAAATTAAAAGGAATAACCACATTTTCGCTATCAAGCACACAAAGCTGACAATTTAGTGAAAGATGATGGATTTCTAATAAAATGTTGATAGAGAACCTCCATTTACAAGAATTGACCACCCTGTAAATGGGTTTGAATTGTATAAAGCATGGTTATTTTTGAAGTCTCTCCAGAAATTACAAGATAATTAGAGTCTATAAACAACTGTCTTATTTATGCATACCACTCTTTCTTCAGGTGTAGTGCAAGAATCGATTGTCAGATACAAGATTCTTCCATGCGGTGGTTATCATACAGTGGTCAGCAGTGTACTAATATCACTAAAGTACAACCTGATAAAATACAGAAAGGTAGAGACTTAGCAACACCAGAGGTGAGTCTTTTATTTTTATCAATTTCACAACAAATGGTAAATCCGGAATCACAATCTGTTACACCTTTGAGCCTAGCTTTATGCACATTGGTGGTGCAAATAAAGTATCACTTAAAATTAGAGTAGGTGGATCAATATAAGCATGTTAGTCTCAAATTGACCTAATATATTATTGATCAAGCGGTTAAACCCATTCCTACATCCTATTGTCAATTCACGTCACTTTCACTATTCACCACTTTCTTGACCTACGAATCAGAAATACTATATAGACAATTTTATATATAGAGGAATGAAATCCATATTAACCATTGCATCTGAATAAATCAAACGAAACTTGCAAAATCAATCATTTTTGTATCAATCAACCATACTTGTCATATTGCTTCTTTTACCAAAAATATGAATTGCTTTGATAAATTTGTACGAAGCACTATCTGATGCTCAACATTTAACAAAAAAATGGTCTGACTGCTAGGAGTATATTGTCATCAACTGTACCTCTCTGTCCGTCTGTCTTCTGCAACTGTAATATTCTTCTCATAATCATAGAAAGTGGAAAAGAAGCTTGTTAGTCTTCACATGAACTGTTAAAGTGGGCAAATGTTATTAATCATTAGTACATGGAATATGAGTTATACCAGCTGTAAGATGATGACTATTATTGAGTGTAGAGGAATTCTAGATAATAGCTAAATATTTTTTGTAAATTTTCAGGTGAAAGTATTCATCGACTTTCTACCACAGTTTCAGGAAGGTGAACTCAATTGTGTATTTTCTAGTTATGATAATGGAATTCCCAATCGACCCAAATACATCATAGAAACCAAAGCCACACTGATGCGTGAAGCAGATGGAGTACGTTGTGTAACTCCTATACCCAATAAACTACCACCTATTCCCACTGGCCGAGGTAATTCATTTTATTTACAGAATACAATCTATAATATCCTAACATGCACCATTGACTATACTACTACAAGTTATTAGTGGTAAGCGACTAATTAGTATATCAGATAATTGATTAGATATATCAATGGAATAAGGGATTGGTCACAAGAGAAACTAAATCAATATAAAAATTCCCAAACTGACGACATTGTATTAGATGAATCATATTTAATAACGAAAGTAAATCAGAAAGTTGTTGGCTCTGTGATACTTTCCAATAAGAAGTCATATTCAGTGTTTTAGAAAGAAGTAAGCATACCCTGCTTAATGCATTACACTTTTCACTGCTTATACCCAAGATGGTATTCATTGTTTTCTTTCTTAAGATAAGGCAGGTATAATCTTAAAACCCAACCAGAAGAATTCTCGTCATTCAACAATTACTGTCCATTTGACTGGAAATTTCACAAATTAACCCTGGGCATAATTAAATAAATTATGTCAGTTTTGTCGACTACCAATCACATTTAGTCTGACAGTTAATCTAGATATATTAGCTGTGAAACAACACCATAATGTATGTCACCTGTCTTTCACAGCTACAGTAACTTAGTAATTATATATTCTGTACCCAGTGCTGTAATTGTCCTTGATTGTATGCCTGTTCAAGGACATTCTGATTAATAATAGTAAAGGAAACACTTTTATCATCATTATTTGGTTTTATTATTGGTGGATTAATAAATGATAAAGCTGTATTTTTTTCTGCCATTGAAGAGAAACTATTACTGACTCAGTGAATTTCTAGGGAATTGATTTACCGGTAGAAAATATTTAGAATATTGGTTTATGTTTTGTAGTTTCAGAAGAATTAGTTTTACTTCATAATTTTTTACTACAGATTTCGGTATTGATAGACTTATAATATTTGAACTAGAATTGCACTTCCAAGTTCAAAACCAAAAAGTAATGTTGAAAGATGGAAGATTATTTTCTGCAATGATAAAATTTTATTGTTAGGGCTAGCCTTAAAATTAAACCCATGTAATATACACACGTGATTTTTAAAAAAAAAAACAAAACATGCTGAACGATCCAATATAGCAACATCACGACTGCAAATTCTTGTGTTATATAAATACAACAGTCCAACCAATTGTTCCAGCTTGATATGAATCTATGTTCAAACTTGTGGAGACTAATATACAGTAGTTGAAATGATGTTATCTCAGGAAACAGGTTTTGTGAGGCAGGAAAAAATATTTTTAAAAGGTGAACTGTCACAAATATGATATGAAACATCAGAAATTGGATCAATAAAAAATGTATCCTATAGCAGTCGGCTTAAAGGCTGATGATATTGAAGAACACTCAATCAGCAGTACTCTATAACTAGGATGAATGATGATTCCTATTTGAAATATGGGGCACGATATAAAATGTTTTAGATTTGACAAAGCTAATCTCCTGTATCCTTGAAAACTAGATTAAAAGGAGTTCATAAATCCTGCATCCTTCAGAAAGATATAAAGACGGACTGTACTGGTTTTATTGATAGAAATCGTGTTTATTAGTTTTAGATGAAAAGTACATCATTGTATGAAACATGAAATGCAAATTGTAAATATTTTCAGAAAAGAAAGCCTGAAAAAATTAAATGTCAAATACTCAAAATGTTGATAGGAGAATAAAGATGAACTAGTTCATTTACGTGATGAATAATAAAATACTGCGACATTTTTGGTAATGTTGTTATATGCATGGCAAATGTTATAAAACTTTAAATATGTGCAACCTGAACATTTATTTTTAACTAAAGTATGATATTGCTTATGGCATAGAAATATGAAATTATAGACTGAATATAGCTCACAATGAAAAAATTAGAAATAAGAAATCAGGATGGCTGTACTTGTAATGGCGATATTTTTAGATTTTCCATTCATAGCCCATAAGTTATCATGTTTTTAGTAACAAATATGTTTATCTCTGTAGTTTTGAATATATTTTCCCATCAGTGATTATGTATTTATGCTCTTGACTGTCAAGGAAATATATCTTTAATCCCTGTTAATATAGGAAATTGGAATGTCAGGTATTCGGAGATCAAGATAATATCTGAAAATCATCTGTTTGAGACAGTTTCTTTACTCAATTACCCCTTTTGCTTCTTGGCTTGCATGACCAAAAATTTAAAGTTCACTGAGCTTGTTCAATCTCATCGAGATTTAGTTAAAAGAATCTTCAGATCATGGATTGAAATTCGCCACAAAATTTGATTAAAATGAGTGGAAATCTGATCATAAAATGTCGGCTCACAAGTTAAACTTGCAGTAGCTATTATTCCCCTCTCTTACTCGAGTTTTATCTGTTTTTTTGCTTGGTAAAAGAGGTGATATTAAAGAAACTAATAGAGCATTGGCTTGTATTAGTCCTAAATTTTACCATCAAATAAAGAAAACTATGTGAGTCAGCCACCGCAGAAGCCAAACGACAGATCAACGTGAGAAAATGAGGGAAATGATTGAATAATCTTTGATTGTGTCATGCTACCTCTATTAATGGAAATTAGTAAACACATTGAAGTTGTTTAAGAGTTTGTTTCCTTGTTACTTTCATTAATGCGTCTGCTCAACTTAATGGAGGCTGAGGATCAGACAAACAAACGAATGCCAACGTTAAAGCATTTATTTCATTACCTTTCTCACATTTTATAATTATCCTCCGGACATGGTTTGTCTGTTTTATTTGCCAAGGGTCATATTTGATAGCCAAGCAATCATGTTATTCTGTATTGTTTTGCCACCAGCTCATATTGTATGGACTGAGCCAAGAAAATTGTCAAGAGACATTTTCAAAAATAATCAGTTTAAATTTTCAAAAATAGTCCAGTTAAGATTTATTTTTCTCCGTTTAAATTAATTTGGTATTGTTCATTGTACTCTATATCTAGGAGATACCTTATATCTGGCATGGTTTCATAACTAGTTGTGAAATGTTTAAACAGAATTATTTTCCTCATAATTTTCATGCTATAATTCATCTTTTGTGACATGTTGTGAAATTGCTTGGAAATTATGACCAGCAGAATTTTTTGCAAAAAATTTATTTACAAATCAAAATCATTAATATAAATGTCACAACCATAAGATTGATACATCCAGATAAAACTATTTGTCATTTCAACATTTGCTCATTTTAAAAAAAATGTTTCTTCATGAATACAGAACAAAAACTAAAGCCAAACGGTAGAATTTATCATGTTCTGTGTTGTATAATAATGAATATTTCATATTTTATAGAGAGCTAGGATTACAGATTTACTTGTTTCATTATAAGCTGTAATCCTGAGATTGTCTTAGACTGGATGCTACCAGAATAACAAGGTGATAAACAAGAATTTATTGTCTTCAGTGAATTCTATCAATCTCTGTTGTTTTACGTAGTTTCCTATATTATGTTACTGGATATTGCAATAATGCTATTGCTGTAGGTTTTTACATTTGATTTTGTATCCCACCAAGACTAATAAACTTTCCTTCTTAGATTTATTAAAATATTGGTGTCAGTAAGCATTCATCTCCTTAAAGGTTTTTAGTTTTTATCTGTTACAAGTGCAAGTATAAATTTTTTGATTTATATTGTTTGTCAGTTGAAATGTCATATGTGTGAGAAGATGATATTGAAATCTACATTGAATACTGATTTTACCATCCAAATATTGAAAGACATTATTCAAATGCTATTTGAATATTCTATTCAACTAAAATCATCCACTTCCCTTATGTTTTTACAGAATGTTCAGATTTCTATCAATTTACCTTATCTGTTTTTGTCTTTTAATATTAGTTTATTTCCTTGAATTAGGAGACATAAAACTGAAATTGAAAAAAGTATCCTGAAACAAGTCAGTTCAAATAACCTGAAAAACTATTCCAATTCTAATATTTATGTGAACGCTAATGTCGCTTATGATTCGGGCAGCACTTACAGTTACAACCACAAATTGGCCCCGCCTCCCCCCCCCCCCCCACATGTATCTATATATCTATTTGTAACAAAGGTTTGGAGTTATCTGTGAGGACATGAAGTTATTTTAAACAAGGATGTAAAAAGTACTTGTTTCACTCCGAGTTATGAGTGCCCATATTTTATTCTTCTGGGAATATTGATAGACAAATTCAGTTGATTGCATCTATAGAGAGCAATATATTCTATAGAATAAATACCAAAGTTGCAATCCATCGAATTGTCCCTTTATGACTTGTTTGATATGGTGTTATAAGCCAATATGCCACCTTGAATAGAAACCTGGTCTCTTCAGGAATCCGGATCAAGTCTGGTCAACTAGGAGAAGATTCAATTATATTTTTTCTATAGATGCTAATGTATATTGGCCTCCAGTTTATTTGCAAATTTCAGCACTTAGGGACAAATTTCTATGCATGAAAACAGTTGATACGACCAGAATGGGTTGTATAGATCAATTAATGCAGTCTTGATGTGGTGTATATCCCATGACTGATACACCAGTCTGAATAAACTGTCTACAGCTTATATGAGATGTAGAACTAAATGTAAGTGATACGTGTATGGCTGATATGATTCATATTTATTGAGTGTCATTGTACATAGTGGAAAGGATGGAACCCTTTTGCTAAACAGTGACAGCAACAACAGTGACCCAGCATTAACTTGTAGCTTGCGACAAATTTGATCAATTTCCTTCCATACCCTTGTTGACTTTTGGTACAGTGCAGAAGCATCTTCTAGAATGATCTTTGACCACTTCAGTGCTTCTTACTTGACTCAGTGCTACCTTCTTCCAAACTATTAAATGGCCTGCCAATCACATATCATGCAAGAATAGATGCTGGCACCATTTTCTCCAATATATCACAAGTCTTTGATTATTCAATGTCTTTGTAACCATTTATTAAACATTTATCATTCACGGCTATCTCGTGGGAAACCATATTTCCAGACATCCAAGCTGGTAATGTAGATTAGAGGAGAATGAATTGTAATCAACTGAATTCATAATATATACTAGACATAACTATTATACAATATTTTCTGAAATTATTTGATCAATAAAGAATAAGCGGAGTCATCCTAGATATAGTTTACTGAATATAACTGGTTAATTGTATTTTGAAAGCTCTTGGTGACCTTCCTCATCTGCAACCATCTGAAGCTATGTGATTCTTTTTGAAGAAATGCAAACTCATTTGTCATGAGAGGTTGCCAATAACTCCAATCTATTTAAATGCCTGGATAACCATGTCTGTTTTCTTCCAGAATTTACGGTCGAATTAGTTGTTGCGATTATCAAGTCAAACATACATTTTTTACTCTGAAATCCTTAAACGAGTTGTACACAAATTGAGCGATCATTTCCAAAGGTTGAATCTATATATTTAGCTGAAATTTTGTGCTAATTGTTCAGTTTGGCATTTCATTTGCATGCTTGAAATTTAAACCACTTTTATCAATGGGTACCTGGAACTGCTCCTTAAAATCCATGAACTGTTATAAATTCTACTATTTGATTGGTGGTCAATATTTTGATATTTTTCCTTTCATTATTTGAATACACTGAAAAGCTTACCATAGACATATTGCAAGTTAACATCATTCATGTTTTACATCACAATGTCAAAGGTCAGTCAGAGTTCAGTTCAGAAAACATCACTATTCTTAACATTGACAACAATGGGTTATGGTTGGACCATTTGTCTTCCCAAATTTGTAAAAAAAAATCCAACTAACCGTGAACACTGTTACCTTTCATGTCAAAATGAGCACAAATGATTTATCTATGATACAAAATTATTAAAAGATGATATATATAGTTTTGAAGAAATTGTACATTGAAGCATACACACTAGTTACGTACAATATACATAGACAGAACTCAATGACCATTGTATACCGCTAGGTTTATTCAATGGTTCATGAGAGTGTATCCCTGTGCAAATATTCCACGAGGGATAGCGAGTGGAATGTGGCAGGGATACACTCCAGTTGGGTTTTTTTTACAACTATAACTACATATAAATCTCAAATAAGAACAAATTCAATGGTCATTAAGTTCTGTAGACACTGTACTATCCAGATTATTAAAAAAAATCATCACCTATAACGTCAAACTTAATCATAGGTTCCGCCATTCTCAAAGTGACGTCATTCTGGAAAAAGTAGTCCCTGTCGAAGCCATTGAATACAACCATGGTTTATTCAATAGCATTTGCCTGTATTTGCATGTAGTTATGGAATAAAATACCTTCTTAAATACATGTAGAAATAAACATGACTTTTGTTTTTTTATACACAACTTGTTATTGTAGACTATGATGGTATTATTGGTAGTAATACAAAGCCATTGCATTTTAAACAAAAATTATATTTTGGCATTTTTCTGTTTTCAGATCATATTGTTATGCGGTTATCTGTTCAATCCAAAAAGAAAGATGTTGTTTCTACAAATTTTACATTCTTTGATTGTGGTGATCATAGCTCGTAAGTAAAACATATTTTAATCTTTCTGTCTACTTAGAGATCTTTGGTGCCTCCTACAAGATAATACCAGAACAGTCTTTCTTTCGACTACCGGTACTCAAATATTCCAGACTAGCAAATATCGAGTTCAGCTTAGCTTGTCATTAACTTAAAATTAACTTAGATGCCGATATGTGCCATATTGGGAAGTTAATTATGAAAAACAGCCTTCTGGTAATATTCATGCATATTATCTATGACATAAATAATAGCAGGGTGGTAGGCTGAATGTCTTTAATAAAAATTGTAACTAGATTATAATTAACACCTGCTGGTAGAAGGAATCAAAGAGATGGTGAAATACAGCTGTAACAAGGTTAAACTCAGTTTATAATAACACTCAATAATCAACACCTTTTATGACCTTATATTGAATTTTACACCAGGGGGAGTTGGTCAACATTATCTCACCATATTGAATAAATAAAAAGCATACCATATTAGATATGACAGAACAATGTGAATATGCGTGGGCTTACATGTTTGTGGATTTAATTTTTATTCTCTCCAAAAGGTCCATGACATTTATTTCAAAGTTTAATAAATGATATTTGGCAGTTGCATGTTTTGTTTTATTTATGTAGGATTTAAAGCTAGCAAATGTATATATATATGAATAACATGAATAACTAAAATTATGTACTCATAAGTTTTTCATTCAAAACTTGACATTTTGAAAAGGTCTTGCATCTGTTGCGACATTATGTCAACTGGGTGAGATGAAATCTATTTAGACAACCATTTCGGATATTAGTTTAAGTTTGGCATTTGTAAGATAAACATCTGTGAACGATAACATGCAATTACTAAATATTATAACACAAATACAAATTATAAATATGATCCATAAAGAGCAGGTTTTATGAGTTTGTTTCATGCCATATCAATTTCTTTAATTTACTGTAAATGATATTCACAATTATGAATAACCTATATCAACATATTATGAGTAATTGCATTGAGGTTTCATGTAGTGGCAATAAGCGCTCTCTGATTGTTTTAAGAGAAAATCACATGTTTCAGTAATACATAATAATAGATGTCTGACTCCTTTATGAATCGACACATAAACTGTTAGCTCTTCTTTATACAGTTACCACACAAGAGACCAGTATGATATTTACTGTAAAAGCAGAGCTGAATAATTATACCTATAAGCACATATAAAGAATCCTCGGGAGACCTACCTTCCTTCACAATTACAGCTCAACAGAGACTTGCTACTAAAATAAATGTCAATTAAGCCAAGAATGACAAATAGCAATAGACTTTATTACACTTTATATCGGTATTGTATAATTGGCTAAAGCTGCAGGATTCTGGTGAGAGGAAGTGTTTTAGGTCCACGGTTGTGGTGTGTGAAAAAAAAATAATGTATTTTATATTTTTTCTTAACCCAATACATCCTCACCTTCTATGAGTTGCTATAATATTATTATAGCCTCAATGTTGTGGAGGGTGGGAAAGTTTTAAACCAGTTTGATTAATAATATAAAAGAGATATTGGTTAAATAGAGATACTGATAATGTAAACATACTGATGATATCATGATGGAATTAATCACTTAATGTAAACTAATAGTAGAGAACCCAGTGAGAGAAATAGATATTACGACAGTGATAAGTTTATAATACAGGGAGTGCTTGATACTGTGTCTCATCATCAGATGCATTCAATTGACTCTTGCTTCTTCAGATTTCCAAAACATCACTGATAAAACACGTTCTGGAAAGACGTTTTTTCTGTCCTATGATATTTTGAAGAGTTTTTTTAAAAGATAATCTAGCCATTAAGCTTCTTGTCCAAGTCCCAGTTAAAATTAATGCCATGATTGTAAAGTTCATTGTCTGTGATATCAAGCTAGGTGGAAACAGATGATAGTGTATATGACATTAAAGTAAAATTAGAAATCTATGAGTGGTGAGTAGCCATACCAGATTTCTCTCATCACATTAAAGTAATAAGATGTTCTAACAGCTATAGAAGAAGAAGAAACTTTATTGCATAAAAAACCTTACAAGGCTATGTGCATATACAAATAAAAATAATAGAAATATACATGAAACAAAGGATACATACATGGACATAATTATATGAAGATACACAACTTTACAAAGACATGAACGAATTGTATACAAAAGCTCCTAAACATTTTAAAATTTCTATATATAACCTAGCTTAAAAACAACTGCGTTTTTAAGTCTGGAGAGTGTAGCAAATTTAGCTTTACTATTCTGACAACCACATGCACATGCCCTAACACTCAGGATTAGCCATTATAGAAAAAAAAGACTTCTTGAAGTTTTAAAGTAGTTGATTCGCCCCACTGTTATTTTCAGACAATAGAGTTAAGCTAGTTTAACGATTGTAGCTATTTTTAAACCAGGTTAACATAAGCATCTGAATTGCATGTAATATTGTAGAAGATATTCCAGTGTAATAAATGAGTGGCGACATAAAGTATGCCAACATTTGATGGAGTAGGGTATTTAATACAAAATTTCAATATGCATGTTAGGTGGTGTAGTATGGGAGATTTGTGCAAGTACAGAACAATTTATAGTTACAGTTGATATTCAATAACATAGATATCTAACAGCATTAATAAATACTTGTATGCTATAGACTCTAGATATGCCTTTGTTAAGTACTTTGTAGCAACATGTTTTCCAATTCTCAGACATACTACAACTTTAAATGCCTGAAGCAGGATCTGAAAATGCAATATTTATAAAATGAAAATAAGCAAGGCCATATAAAGCAATATTAGTCGATTCCAAAGGGATGTTATTGTTTGCTAAAGATAATAGAAGTGCGTTGTTTTTCAAATGGCATTACAGTATTACAGACTTTAAACCTTTTAGACAGATATGGATAATGGAAGACTACGATGTCCAGAATGAATTACTGTTATTGGATTGTTGTCAAAACAAATATAAATAAATATTATTTTATATCTGCTTGTTTTAAATCTAAATAATTTGGTCGAGAACATTTCAAATATATTTTTCTTCTCCCAAGCTAATTAATTTTTTTTGAAAATTAAGTGGGTGTGATATTCTAGTGTGTTTTTTTTTGTTCTTATTTTAAATAAGTGTGTCTTAGTTGGAGATTGTTGATTTGTCTGTGATTGTCAACTGCGTATTCGCATGGTCGGTTTTAGTCAGTTGTCAGCGCGGTTGAGAAAGGTTGCGACACTAGATCATGGTAAGAGTAAAAAGCATGAACTCCCTAGAGTCGTATAACATACATTCTATAGAAATAACATTGATTTTCTGTTTCCTTCTGTCAATCGTTCTCGATTGTTATTGCTCAAAACATTTGAACCTAGTGTGAAGGCAGACATTGATATTTCAAGAAGGAAACAAGATATTGCCAATTGACTGCATATACATCACAAAGTGGAAAAGCAGATTTTTTGTTTTCCAGTGGTAGTTGAATCATTGCCTGTAACCTTCTAATTGCATGACATAGATTTTATTTTTTTTATCGAGCAAATTAATTCAGTTATTAAAGAAGCAGATCGATTTCCTAATATTTCTGTAAAAAAGAAACAAATTAAAATATCTGTATCAATATTAACGACATGCAGATTTATTCACTTTTCTGCTACATTAAATGATTAAAAAAATTGCAACTGATTAGTCTGATATTTGATGGTATCTCATAAATGAAGATAGGGGAATAGTAAAATTAGATTATACAGATACATGATTCATGCAAACTGTTGCTCCATTTAACAAGAATGCCAATTTTTCATCTACAGACACGTTGGGGCAGACAAGAATCTCATTGCTTTACAATACAGATAGAGATGATAAAAAGTGCTATTGAATTGTGTTAATTAGGAACCTTCATAGGAACGAGTTTACAAACCCAATTGGATTAGTCATCAGACAAATACCCCCCCTTCTATCACTGCAATTCACGTATAAAATTCATAGTTAATGAATCACTGAAGACCAAATTATGCTGTGGTTTTAAGGAAAAAAAATATATTGATGAGCAAACTGCTTTTAATTTTCATACTTTTTTTTTTATGACATGCCACATTTGCTGGATGATGGCACAAGTTATACATGGGTTGTTTGAATTCTGATAATCATTTGGGTCATATTTGTCACATTAAGTTGTTGAAGCTGTCAGAATGGGAAGAAGCAACAGTTTTATTCTGTAAGAATTCTACAGATCATCTCTTGTCTTAAAAAATTAATAGCAGATTAGGAATTCTCAGTTTTTGATAGAATATTATAATCATTTATTTAAGTGTTTCTAGTTGTTGCTTGTTTTTCTTTTTTGCACAAACGCATGAGTCAGAATGCAATTTGTCTCCCCCCAAAAAATGCTGTAAAAGTTTTCTTTTGTTAGATTGAAGACTCATGAAAACCCAAATGGAATACACTATCTGTGCTAGTTAATTTGCCATGTTACATGTATTGACTAATATTTACTTGTGATTGCAATCTATAAATGTCATTTCCGTATGGAAACACAACTCTGCTCCTTCATTGCTGGAGATCTGTTCATGTTTACCAAATTCTTCATGTTTAAAATTGATAACGGTCTGACTAATTGATTCAACCAGTTGCTATATTCTACATTTCTCATCATAGTCACTTCAGACAAATAATATCTGGTATCAAACAAAAACTTTTCTATAGAACACAATAATTTTACATGTTTTACTTATAGTAATATTGATTTTTAATGCTGGCTTATGGAAAGTTTGATGCTATGATATTATATCTCTATTATTGATATGGTTTCAGTTTGTAGAAATGATTAATTGCTTTGCCGAAAATCCTAGGGTTTTTTTCAAATAAAGATATCAGCATGATAAATAATGTTGTGGGAATATGATATATAGATCCAAGAGACATTGCTGGCATATATGGTTAATAGAACATGTCATTGTTCATTAGATTATGGTATGTTCTATTTACCAACTTCAGGACTAAATTTGATTATATCTTTACAATATTTACACAGTTTTCCCAACATTCTAACATTCTGTTTTCTCAGCAAATTTATACTATGTGTAATGATATAAATACACAAATATAAGTTTTTGTTTTGATATTTAATCAATTATCTAAGTTATAAATTGAAAGAAGGGGAGTTCCATGGTGGTCCAATCCAAATATTAAGGCCACCTGCAGATTTTGTCAAGGTCACAAGATGTACACAGTGCTAGGGCACGTGATTGTTGCCGAGGATTGTGGGTTAGGGTAATGGTTTATGGCTAGGTCTTAGGTTAGGTTTAAGAATTTGGGTTCAAAACCACACTTGTGACACAGAATAGTAACCTGCCTAACATTTAGGGGTTTTCTCCAGATTCTCCTGTCACCTAAACAAAAAAAACTTTTGCGCAAGCCGGTGTTAGTCTGAAAATTACCGAGCTAGTTTTGAGTGAATGTTAAACCCCATTTCAGTCTTACTCACTTTTTGCTTGGAAAAAACTTGCACGTTCTCCCTTTAAAGCAGATCTTATTGGAAAAGATATTGATAAACAACACGAATAGTACTTGCGAATCCAGACGATTTTATGTAATATAGACATTATCAATCATTAATTATTTATACACATACCAATAAAGTGATATGTTTTATTCTACAATAAAAGTAAATGAATATGGAGTATATGAAATCAATAAAAATGAAGTTTTCCCACAAAACTAGTAATTTTAAGGCCACCATAGAGAAAGTTGCTGGTATAAAAATCATATAAATCTTTCAATAGAAAAGTTCAGGAGCAGACGGGTTTTCACTCCGATCGATTGCTGCAATCAAATTAGGCTTAAACCTTTCTGGCACCGGGAAAAGTTTTAATGGAGTAAAGGTTTGGTTTGGCTTAATCTTTGTGCATAAATAAAAAAGTTTGATGATAAGAGGGGAAACGTGGCATTCATGAAACTGTTGTTAGTAATGAAGGAGATTTACCAATCAAGTTTTAAAGCTGATTTATATAATGATAAATTTAACTTTGTATTCTTAGTCATCACATATCGGTACAGGAATCCGATATGACCTCTTATTTTAAATGAACATCCTTGTGAAATTATTAACAGTTCAAATCAAGATTAGACCATACTTTCCTTCTTTTTCACTTTTATGTTTACATTTATAATCCAGTAAGAACTAAAAACATGTTTATTAAAAATTTTGTTTTCATTTGACTTGGCTTGACCTTTCATCCAGCTAATGAACAGACACTTCATCTTGGACAAAAATGACTTTAACTGATGGTAATGCATAGGTTTAGATTAGACTTTCAAGAGAACATATTATAATTGATTAAGAATTCAAATCTTCATGTAGTGTTGTTCAACCCAAATGAAGACAAGAAGGAATAAAAGTCCAATATTAATCATACAATGATACAGAGCCATGGTGACTAAGTGAGTAAGATGCTGGCTTGCTAGCCTGGAGGTCACAGGTTTGATCCTGGTGTTGGTCGAGAAAGTTCATCAAGATTTTCCAGCCTGGTTTCCCCTTGTCAGTGGTGCAGGACGAAGGGTCCGACAAGGTCAGCTGTCTAATCATTTGATTGGGACGAAAAATCGAGGGCCCGTGTACACATTGGTATGCATTTAAAAGATCCCTTGGCTGTTGGAATTCGATATAAGAGTAAGCTGTCAAGGCAAAATTTCCCTCATAACACACTTTGTGGCGTATGCCCGTCCTCATTAGCCCGGTCTTAGTCGAACAGTAGGACGTTAAACCCCATTCCATTTCATTTATTACAATAATAAAGGCTAAAAAATGATTCTTTACTGAGATACATATATTTTCAAATCTATGATATTTGATAAAAATACATTGTTCAATCTGTTTTGTAGACATGTAATATTTATGTAAGAATTGTTTCTGAATGTCAATGCTGTTAAATCAGTGAGCTAAATAATGTTAAAATAAAGTGAAATAAGTTTTGTTATTCTAGTGGGAGCTCTAGTATCTGTCTAATTTTTTTTTTATTCAATTAAACATAGAAAAATAGCCGTGTGTGAACAATAAAAAACCACCTTGCTTTAGATGATTCACTCCTTACAAACATGGCTTTTATCAAATCTTGTTGGCTATAATGGACAAGTAATCAAGTAGAAAATGGTTTTTATTTTATGTTTCTCTTTATTTGGGTGTTTTTAACTTCCTCAAGCAAGAAGGTTTAACACTTTGAGCTGGACTATCGAGTGCATTCTATGCAAACAATAAAACATTGGAACTAAATTACACATACAATCAAAGAAGTCACTGTTTGATGTATCAAAATGATGCCCAGAGGAAGGAGTTCTTAAATACTTCAAACAACAGTTTGAAATTTAATCAAAAAATTTGAAAAAGATGTGGATAGTATTTTAATGTTAGTAATAATAAAATGATTTGCAGACGTCATTATTTTACTTTCTCAAAAGGATGAAAAACTGCAAACGGAAGCCATACTTTGTTCTAATACATGATTAGTTTGCTGTTGTAAAATAACAAGGGTGCAATCACAGTATTAATAGTTTAAGGTATGCCCTCTAAATCATAAGATCTGTGACAAGCAAAAGGATCTCCTGTCTAACCCTGGGGGTTTCACAGGGTCGTTTGGGTTTCTTCCCACCGCTAATGGTCCCTATGTGCAAGAAAATTATTGAAATTAAATTGAATGATATATGTTAGTTCTGAAAAGTTAGTTACACATAGTTTTGAATTTCCAAACATCAACCCAGGAAGTCTGCATGGATGAAAATTGGATCAAAATTTGGTGTAAACCAAAGAACTTGAATAAAACGTTTATTCAATGACTTTTTACTTTTATACAGTTAATCTACATATTTTAAGACCTTCAGAAATGATTTCAAATTAAACAAAATAAATTTGATTTGTTCCCAATTTTTCCTCAGGAAATATGTAAACTAGACTAATTTGTATTGTATATCCTGTGTTCCAGTCTTCATTAGCCCAGTTGATGGTAAAAAGCCGGACATTAAACCCCATTTCATTTCATTTCTCTTCCGTATTGATGTATTTTTTGTTCTGTGTTTTGTTAGACAACATTGTCTTTTCAAATCATCTTTGTTAGGTTTTGGGGTGTGTCATAATAATAGGAGAACCAATCAATTCCAAAATGGATCTTTTGAAGTGAATTGCCAGAGTTCCCTGATCAGTGATGAGAATTCAGTCAATTGAATACATAAATGTATTGTTGGCTATTGTCCTAAGTGCTTTCTTTAATAGACACATCTATTGGCGATTAGGATTCCCCAAGTGTCTAGTTATTAAAAAAAAGCCATATGTGTACAATAATGATCTGTTTGATCATTCTATTAGTCGCAGAAGATTGTGCCTAATTTGAAAGGATGCATGCATTCTATAGAAAAAGTTCAAGTATAGATGTTTGTACCTTATCCTTGAAGCATGGTGATTCATCGTTAAAGAGGAAAACATCAATGAAAAAACTTAATGTTTTGTTTGTTAAAGGTCATGAATGGGTCATTTTTCTGGAATTAAGGTTTGGTGAAGAAGAGGTCATTATTACCACTTCAATGAAGCCTTACACTCATATTTGATTATTGGGTTATAGGTAATGATGTATGTTTGACCAAACAGGACTTAGCCAGGCTATAATATGATTAAAGCCATTGATTGAAGAAAATGAGGAAGTAAGATGTGTAAAGAGGAGAAATTGATTGAATTATTTTAGTTACTGCAAGATAAAAGAGGGATACAATGGGATTTACAGTGCTACGGGGATTATTTGAAGGGTATCAATAAAGAAAATATTAGTTAAACAAGGTTGCTTTGATTTCGTCTGGATGTGGAATGGGTAGATAAACAGTTTGAAGAGATAATGCATAGTTGTCTATCTATCTGTCCAAACCATGCTTCATAATCCTATAGAAAATATCCAGCCTATTTATCAACTATATTCCATTTATTGTCTTCACGCTATTGGCATTTGATGTAAATTTTATTATTCTTCCTCCTTCCATCTGCTACTTCATGGCAACATCACACATGACACTGTTATCCGTTGTGCACATGAACATTCAATAATAATAATATCCTGGCTTCTGGGCATTGTCAAAAATATTCAATATTTAATGATAAATAAATACAGTTTTATGACTGGATGAAAATATGTGAATTGAAATATATGTGGATTATTAACACATTGTAAAGTCATTATTTTCTGTTAATGCATTATGCTTTAACCACAGTTCAATTATTTTAATTAATATTAGTGTTGACAACGACGATCGATAAAATTACGGTAAATTTCTTCGGATTATTCGGTAGAATTTTACAATTTTATTATTCTAAAATGGCTCCTTCAAAACTATGTATCATCATTTGCATAAGTAAAACCCGTCTGATATTTTATTTATTTTTTGCACTTGATTATTTCAATTATTTTATTGTCTCTGATGTCCCCTTGCCTAATATTTGTCCTGTTTGGATTATTACATAATGGTTGGGACATAAACGAGAAAGAGATCTCCTTGGTTTAACAAAACATTTATCTTAGAGCTCAAACAAACATCCACAGTGGACACTTTAATAAATGTGGGAGACATCCCAAATGAGCAATTTAATGAATGTGGGAGACATCCCCAATGAGCACTTTGCTGTCAGTAGGAGACATCCCAATGATAACATTACTGAATGCAGGAGATATCCCCAGTTAGCAATTTAATATTTGTGGGAGACATTCCCAGTGAGCACTTTTGTATTTGGGCTAGTATAATTCAAATTGCAAGGTGAAAGCTTAGATCAAGAGTGTCTTTACAGTGCACTTCAAATAATATAGGTACACATAACAAATACTGAACAAACAATTTTGCTTTGACTGTAGATTGTATCTTTTTATTTAGATATTGAAGTAAATTAACATGAGTAAATAATATAAGTGTTTGTAATCTGTTTTCAGCTGTACTAGCTGTACATTAAGTAATTTTCCATGTACCTGGTGTGTACAGACCCATATATGTACGTTTGAACCAGATCAAGATTGTCAAGGTCTAGAGTTAGTTACAGGAACACAGGTATGTAGTAGAGAGAGATTGCTGTTATGTTTCATTGTTATAAACCCAATGTTAGCTTCATTATTTATGCAAATATTTACCATACCCCAACTGGTAACTAATAAATAACCATAAAGAGAAATATCTAGACTGGAACAAAAAACTACTGTACTTATTTTGTAACTATACAGTACTTGTATCTCTAAATGTCATTTAAAGGGTGAATGCAACCTGAAATGTTAGTTCTATCCTTAGAACACTGGACTTAAACCCAAATGTCTGGGTTACAAATCCTGGCATGAACCAAGTTGTCAGCTGTAGATCATATTGTCCGTTATCTATACAATTCTTTGGTTCGGTTCAAAGGGGTATGGTTGCCTAACTAAACTCATGGGTGATCCAATCTCCTTATAACTTCTCAAGACCCTTGTATGTAAAAGAATTACGTAAATTAAAATATTCCTAACAGTAGACTGCTTCTGAAGTGTTGAGTAGACCCTAAACCCCATTTCTATCACTCTCCCAGTTATATAATCATTTGGTAGACAGAATTAGCGAATAGTAGGCACTCACAAAGTCGTTTTGGGACATACTGGGTATATCTAGGTTTTAATTTAACTGTGGGAGGACCTGTCACAAGCCTGGGAAAGAAACCATGACACTTGACTCAATATCAGATCTTACTATCTAAAGCGCTATTTGGATATTGATAAAATTGATATCAAATGTATCATACCAAAATAATTAAATATTTTATCTTTGTTGTGTTTTATTTATTTATTTTCTTTTAAAAATATAGACACTGGGTATATCTGAGGCACCCGGACCTAAGTCATGTCCAAGAATTGAGATAGCCAATAACATGAAGAAAATTCTTGTTCCTGCTAATAAAAATGAAGAGATATCTGTGAAAGCTATCAACTTATATGTAAGTATTTATTAATCATCTGTAAAAATAATAAAAGTACACTATTTAACAACAGTCAAATGAAAGTTGAAGATGGGGTGCTACTTTATCATCATATATCTACATGTTTGTGTATGTTGTAGGTGATTGAAGATAACTTATAAAAATCGTAAGAAGTGTCAAATCCTTTGTACGTTTTGTTCATCCCTTTTGTTCATCTCTTTTATGATGTCTGAACATTTTGGGCCTTTTCAAAATAAGATTTTTTCAGTTCTGTCCTTTAAGAATAGTTTATGCTACCTTGATCTGGTGCTATATTCTGTTGTCAATATTATCTGGTAGAGTTAAATAAGGAAATTATTATCATTCTTATTGTGAAGATAATAATGCTTGTTTGGTATTGTAGAAATTCCAGATGCAGCAGTTGAAATGTTTATTTAATTTAAAAGATGGTCAAGAAGTCAAGGCTCTTATAACTAATAACAGTGACAATTATAAGGTAACCTGTGCTGCGGTAGAGGTGAGTTAAATTTATGAATATATGAAAGTATACAAAAACTATTTGATGAGATCATTTGTAATTATATTATTAGTTAAAGAGCTGTATAAACCAGGTAATAAAATGACTAAAGCCTCGTAAATAAACAACTTCATTAATACAAACTGATTATTTACATGATTGTATTGACAAACCCAATTTTTCATTCTACATACCTCAATTCTTGTATATATTTGTTTTATTATTTCAGTTTGATTATATTCCTAATATTAAGTCACAGAATGTACCCTTCCAGATATTCTGGGAAGGTGAAAAAGCATTGGATAATCCTACAAATATTCAAGGTAATTCAACTGTTCGATTAGTGTAATAATGATAACTTTCTAAATTTAATAATTGTAGACAAATAAACAATTTTGTTTATAAAGGCACCGGTCAGATGTGCTATCAAGATTAGTATTATATACCCAACTTTTGCTTACTTTGTTGAAAATAAAAATTAATCTAATTGAAGACTTTATTATTTTAACCCTTTAGCACTTAGATCGGCACAATCTTCCTTAACTAGGTCTCCTTAGACCGCCCCAAACTGTCCTGTCAAGTGCACAGCTGTGACACCTGCACAAATGGTCCTATGATACAGATATCTATTCATATATCTCAGGCTGTTTGAGGCGATTTAAGGAACAGCAGCTTCAGTCTGTCCAGCGATGTACTGGTATTGATATATCACTTTTCTCTAATTTTCTTGCAGGAACTGGGATAATCAATATTTACATGTATCAAGTGCTAAAGGGTTAAAATCATAGATGTCCTTGTACATACTATACTATATTTGCAATAGAGAATTATATACAATGTATATTGTTATTATGAATATTTACAGTTTTGATGTATAAGTGTGAAGTTATGGCCAATTCATGTGGTGAATGTTTAGCATTAGAAGAACAGTATAAGTGTGGGTGGTGTAAAGATCGTTGTAGTACTGAAGAATGGTGTCTAGATAAAAGTCTAACTTGGCTACCAACAAAAATCTCTGTTTGTCCTGATCCACAAATATCAAGTGTAAGTTTTAACACTATATTTATGTTAAAACTAAATGTTATTGGCTAGTGTTCCACAAGGATCTGTCTTAGGCCCACTTGTCTATTACAAAATTCTGGTTTCTTTTAAAATAACAATAATAAATGTAAAAGAATTTAAATGCAAAGGGTATTTAATTTGTGGCAAATTTTGCTCTCCGATAGCTCTAAATTTCAACAAAACGATTCCATTGGTCTTACTGCATGATCAACAGAAACTAATATTGTTAAATTCTTATACTTACCTAAGATATCTGACTGCACAATCAACTCAAGGAGTACACTGCATTTTGCCTTGAAGCCCTTCAAGTGTTTTGGTACAGTAGAACTTAACTAGTCGACCTATGATAAATTAGATCTTGTTGGTAATTATTATCTTGTTCCTTGTAGATTACACCAACTTCTGGTCCTCTAGAGGGTGGCACCCGTATTACTATTATTGGTAAGGATATGGGTCAGAAACAAGAAGATATATCTGTTAAAGTTGGAAGCAAAAATTGTGATATTATTGAATTTACTCCACCTAAAAGGTAAGTATTTTAAGATAGCAAGATTAATTGCACCATAAATTCATACTTATAATATCTAGTGATATTTATTTGTTACATGTAATATGTAGAACTTTATCCAACAGATAGATTGTCACTCAATATTTTGTCTTTAACAAGTTCAGCATCTGTAGGTAACTGAAACAGAAGCCTACATGTAACGATCTAAATAATCTAAACTTAAATATTTTTATATGCCCACATTGAAATGTGGTTGTATATTGTCGTCACCACCGTCCGTCTGGTGGTCCCGTGTCCATAGATGCTTGTGGATACTCTGGAGGCTAAAGTTAATATCTGATTGACTTTAAATTTATACACAGTGTTTAAGGTCATGAGACGAAGAAGCCTATTGAGTTATGCCCCGTGATCACTTTGAAAAATCTTGTGGACGCTCGTGAGGCTAAAGTTAATATCTGATTGACTTTACATTTATACACAGTGTTTAAGGTCATGAGACGAAGAAGCCTATTGAATTTCAGCGATTTCTGATAATTACTGCCAAAGTTATGGCCCTTGATCACTTTGAAAAATCTTGTGGACGCTCTAGAGGCTAAAGTTAATAGCTGATTGACTTTAAATTGATACACAGTGTTAAGGTCATGAGACGAAGAATCCTATTGATTTTCATCGATATCCGATAATTACTGCCAGAGATATGGCCCTTGATCACTTTGAAAAATCTTGTGGACGCTGTAGAGGCTAAAGTTAATAGCTGATTGACTTTAAATTGATACACAGTGTTAAGGTCATGAGACGAAGAATCCTATTGATTTTCATCGATATCTGATAATTACTGCCAGAGATATAGCCCTTGATCACTTTGAAAAATCTTGTGGACTATCTATAGGCTAAAGTTAAGATCTGATTGACTTTAAATTTTTACACAGTGTTTAAGGTCATCCGGTCATGATTTTATATTTTTCACCATGTTTACACCTATATATAATCGTTTCGATTGACTTTAGATTGATACACAGAGTTTAAGGTCTTGAGATGAACAAGTATATTGATTTTCATTATTTTTGGTAACTTGAACAGCTAAATCCATGATATTAAATGTTTTGTATAATAAACGCTTGCATGGGCCAAACAAATTCTAATGATTTTCTGATAATTACTTAAAGATACATTATGTAAGATCTAGATAAAGAACTAGCCATTCTTGCTATAATAGTTTGAAAGTAGATGATGTAAAATGAATAATTTGAAAATTTCATTCAAATTACTCTATTGCAAACGAAGATGTTAGCCTTTGAAGGTTTGACAGACGTGTGCAATTTCAACCACCGTACTGGTTGATCGAAGCTAAGTCTCGGTCCTCCATATTTGATTAAATCAAAGTATCGCTGAACCATTCTAATCTATTTAATATCGGAGAAATCTGATGCCATCGAGAGTTGATTAAGGCCTGGATCAGTTAATTAATGTCTAATTAATACTTTAGAAAACATTTCAGGCCTAAAGAAAGACCTGCAATAGGCAGATTTAGCTCTTGTATAATGCATGTTTAATGAGTTGTTACTCTTAATCAGATTTTAATGTATTATAAATGGTTCATTACCGACAAAAGAAAATTATGCGACAACTCTTTTTGACTGCCTGGACGATAAAGCTGCTGTGGGCGTATGTTTCGTTGCCTGACAACCTATCTTTGTATTGTAGAGTTGTATGTTCCACGCCATCTTATACACAAGCACAAACAACATCAGTTTTTGTCAATGTATCAAACCTTTATAAAACCAGTGGAAATCATTTCTTTCATTATGTGGTATGTATTTCCTTAGTCAAAAAACCTGTTATTAGTTTATTAAATATTTTTAAGTCTTTTTATGTAAATTGCTCTCTAAATGATACAGTATTCAAGCAATTGATACTTTTCCTGAATATTGAACTCTTTTATCTTAATTCTTGATGCATGTAATTAACTCATGTAAATATTGTAATTTTGTATTGTAGAAATTGTCTATAACTGATATACATCCTAAAAAAGGACCAGTATCTGGTGGTACCAAAGTTACTATAAGTGGTCAACATATGAATGCAGGTTCTTCAGCTAAAGTGATGATTGGTAATCTACAATGTGATAACATAGAAAGGTAAAATTACATTCATTAAACATATCAAATCATTGCGTGAACTGTAGACAGGAATAGCCAGACAGCCTGTTAACATATACATAATGTATGATATTTTGTCCAAACTAATATTCTTTGTATTTCAAGCAGAGACCATATTGACTGAAATGATCAAAACTAATGGAAATTCATTGTTGAACGTGGAGATGTTGTCCACTGAACAAATATTTTTCACTATGATGAGAGTTACAATCTCATGGTGCATCATTTGTGTCAATTAAAGATAATATTGAAGACTGATTGTTTTGCTGATTTTCATACGTACAAGAACATGTTCAGATAACAAATTTTGGATATTTGCTTCTGCCATATTGCTTTTAAATGAATAATGTTTGGTTTTAGAAGGTTCTTACTCCTTAATCTTTTGCTCTGGTGAATTTTTTCAAGAGTAACTACCTGCAACCAATGAAAAGCCACGAAAATTGCTTTTTAGATATAATACCCAAAGACAATGCCTAAAACCAAATAATGAAATTTAATTTTGGAATGTGGATCATAGACATAAATTAGTTTTAAATGAATGATTAGTTTTTATACTCCCACATGGAAATGTGGTCGTATATTAATATTGCCGTCCGTCGTCCACAATTTCTTGTGAACACTCTACAGACAACATTTATCATCTGATTGTTTTAAAATTGATATATGTTGTATACATTAGTGAAGGGCCTAACAAGGACGGCTGTCTAGTCGTTCGGAAGGGACGGAAAACCAAGGTCCCGTGTACACATTGGCGTGCACTTAAAAAATCCCTTCTTGACAGTTGGAATTTGAATCCGATCTGCATAAAATTTATATGTATCGTTTAAATTAGTAAATCGCTGAAGCCTATTGAATTTCAGCAATTTCCATTAATTTCAATAACTTCTGTTAATTTCTACTGGAGTTATGGCCCTTGTGAACGCTCTAACGACAAAAGTTATTGACCGTCTGTATGAAATTTATATGCATCATTTAAATTAGTAAAACAAAGAATCCTATTGAATTTCAGCAATTTCCGTTAATTACATCTAGAGTTATGGCCCTTGTTTCACTTTGTTGAATCTTGTGAATGCTCTAATGACAACAGTTATCATCCAATCTGTATGAAATTTATATGCATCATTTAAATTAGTAAAACAAAGAAGCTTATTGAATTTCAGCTATTTTCATTAATTACGCCTTGAGTTATGGCCCTTGTTTCACTTTGTTGCACTTTGTGAACATTCTAACGACAAAAGTTATCATCCGATCTATCAAACTGTTTGAAATTTACATGGATTGTTCAAATTAGTAAAATAAAAAAGCCTATTGAAATTCAGAAATTTCCGTTAATTACATCTACATGTAGAGTTATGGCCCTTGTTTCACTTTGTTGAATCTTGTGAACACTCGAACAACAAAAGTTATCATCCAATCTGTATGAAATTCATATGCATCATTTAAATTAGTGAAATGAAGAAGCCTAATGAATTTCAGCAATTAATGTCAATTACCTCTATAGAGTGATGGCCCTTGTTTTACTTTGTTGAACCTTCTGAACGTTTGAATGACAAAAGTTATCATCTGATCTGTATGATATTTATATGCATTATTTGAATGAGCAAAACGAAAAAGCCTGTCGAATTTCAACAATTTCTGTAGATTGTATTGTATTATTATTATTGTAGATTAAATCAGTCTGATATGATGTGTACAACAACTAAATCTAAACATCCACAAACTCAAGCTGCCGTTAATGTTATAATAGATAAACAAACTATTGATGTACCTCAACAACTTTCATACGAGTATGTAGAAGATCCAAAAATTAGTGGCATTGATCCAAAGAAATCTATACAGGCGTAAGTATATGCATGAAATATTTTACTAAAAAGAGATACATGTACATCTATTTTAGGGATTGTTTGGCAGAAGTGAAGGGATGGTATATTGTGTTCTGGATCGGGTTAAATTCAAAGTTGTCTGCATTTCACATAGGCTATGATGACATTTTGTTATTATTATTATAGAGAGATAGAGAAGCAGGGTTTAATTTCTACGTGGATTAAAATATGGTATATTTTTATTTGAAGAGGTTTCAGGCAATGCCACTTCTTGTCACATACAACCCCAGGATCGAACCCATGACTAGGATAGATGACAGGCCTTATGATCTACAGTGCATGTGTTAGACCACACATACACCCATCTGTTAACTTGCAAATAAAAGAAATATTTAACTGCTTATGATAAATTATATCAAGTAAACAAAATGTGCTGTTGTTAGCACCCTATATTTTAAGTTGTTTTAGTTAACTTGATAAAGAGCTTTATATTTTACAGAGGTGGTATTACAATAACTGTATATGGTGAAAATATAGATAGTGTGTTGTCACCAACCATGGTATTTCCCGATGAAAAGAATCCTATAGAAGCAGTAAGTCTTAATAGACCTCATGATAGTATGATTCCCAGACATTATAATAGGCTCCATTGTCTTAATACAATTTTGAAATGTAGTCATGTGTTGCAGTCTCTCCTGTCATCCACAATTTTTTGTGAACACAGACTACTTCATTTTGTAAAACTTACTATCCGATACTGCAAGAATGTGACATGCATTGTTTAGACAGGTGAAAGTTAAAGGGTTGTTGCCCTTAATTATGCCAAAGAACCTTTAGCTGTGGGACTCTGGGATCCAACTGGAAAAAACCTCATAAAGTTAGGCATGTGACCAAACTTGCAATCAGTGAATAGAAGTCACAACCAAATTGGTAACACACTTGAAAGGCCTGTAAAGCTTGTTTAGCATTTGCCAGTGCTGCTTTTTTTGTCCCCCACCTTTTGAAGAAAGCAGGTCTATGATTAACATTTTCCGCTAAGGCTAAGCATTTTCATTGGTCGATGCTTTGTGACAAAATAACTTTGATTCTAACTGATGGAGAATCTACAGTTTCACTACCAGGTACTTCAAAACCTTGACTGAGTTCGATCATGAACATTTTCTGGTTAAACTAAGATTAGATAATCAGTTTGATTGCTCAATACATTTCAAAAAGATAAATTTGTAATTAATTAGTATGTGTCATCTATTTATTTTGGGATGTTGACGGGGGACATCAGCCTCAATGTTGGCTTGTATTATAAAACATTCTTTTTCCTCTCTGTATTTTAGCCGTGTGAAGTAAAGACTAATACTAGAATGATTTGTCAGTCACCACCAGTAGACATGGTTACAGGAGAAAAATATGATGAAATATCTTTTGGTTTTATAATGGATGGTGTTGAAGAAGTTAGAAATTTGACTGTTCAGTATGATGATTATGGAACTTTTCAAGTGTTTCCTAATCCCATTTTTACCCAATTTCCCAATGGGGTTAAATCACATCAAAATAAAAATGAATATTTGACTATCGATGTAAGTACATAGAAATTTCTATTTACCTGTAGGTTTCGATATAAGAGAATACAGTGGAAAACCCCCAAAAAACATTTTTGTTATCACAATGTCCAACATTTTAGTATGTGTGTTATTATATCTTCACTTATGTCCATTAGTGGTATTCAGTATTTAAGACACAAAGAAAATTTTAAATTTGGCACACGAATCACATTCCAGAATGCTTCTGAGCACCATTTGTAATGAAGTAACTGCATGAAAGAGGCTAAACATATCCCACAAGGGAAGACTACTGGAATAACCAGACGCCAAAGACTGCCATTCAATTTGCACTCTTCGAGTATTTTGCCGAACATAACTGATTAGAAATTACAGTAAAAACAGTAACGATTGAATGTAAATCAGTTTATATACATTCATATTACATTATTATATGCATTCAGACCGCATTTGTGTCCATTTCTATGTGCCAAAGAATAGCAATTTAGCGTCTTTAAGACCTTATTATATTAAGATAAAATGCTTGATCTGATGTTTGTTGTTTATTGCTTGCAATGTCTGTGATTGGTCTTGTCTGCAGGTTTGTCTTATCGTTTTTGTTTTACATGTAGTGTGGTCTTCCTGCACTTACTATTACAAGGGGGATTTTCGTCCTTTTCAGGATTTCTTTAATAGTCCTGTGTTATTTATTTCCAGGGTGAGAATATAAATTCGGCTGTTCAGAGGGAAGATGTTAAAGTAAAGATAGGTCAGGAATTTTGTAATGTTACTTCTGTTGCTGCTACTCAATTAACATGTACTCCACCTAAATCTCAACCAGCAGCATTAAAAGGCAATGGTTTTCCTGAAGTAGTTGTAAGTTTTATTTTAGTCTAAAATACTTTGCTGATTGTATAAACAGTAATACAGTTTGACCATACTCTACTATCTTCAAAACTCCCTCAATTAAACCTGTACATTCACATGCCAATATTATTGTCCAATAGTGTCCAACCAATGTTATCCTGCAATAAAAGAAACAGAACTAATAAAAAAAAAACGTTTTCTTTAGTATATAAGAAAAACAAAACCAAAACGATACTATATAGATATGATAAGGGTTAAATTTGCATCTTGATCACTTGCCTTGAGAAGTTGACATTCTACATACTAAGCATGGTTTGCACATTTTTGATTATTGGCAGATCATCAAACAATATTCCAATAATCAGAAAGGGATAAAACTGTAGTACAAAACACTACACAAAAAGTTGCATTTGAAAATATGTAAATGTCACATCTCAATGAAAGATTGGTCAGTGAGCCAATGGTCTATGTTGAGGCATCTTCATGGAATGTGGCAATAATTTTATTTGTAGAAGACCAGGGATGATACTCGAATATCGATCCAAACCATGACCACGGTCGAAATCCAAAATATGGCCTCTAACACTTTTGGAATTCTTAAAAAGCTAATGATTTCTTATTGCAGGTTTTTGTTGGTGCCAACTTTTCTAGTAAAATTGGAGAATTACGATATGAAGAACCTGATGTATTGTCATTACAAGCTATTATTGGTATAAGTGTTGGGGCAGCTATCTTAGTTGTAGCTGTGATAGCAGTATTAATAGCATATCTTGTTAAATCTCGTCGTAGTGATGACATGATGAAGAAAATGAGAATTCAAATGGATAATTTAGAAAGTCGAGTAGCTAATGAATGTAAAGAAGGTATGTACATTAACAATAATATGTTAATTATATCCATAGAAATTAAACGGTTCCATTTTCCTTTGTTCAGAAATAAATTATTTGATTTTCATTGAAAATTTAAAAAACAAAATCTAGAACTTGAGACATTTAACTAAAGCAGGAACTAAATAGAAATAAAGTGTTAATGATGAATGAGCCTATAGTCAAGGAAATTTTTTTTGTCCCCCGCCTTTCGAAGAAAGCAGGGGACTATTAAAATGGGTTCGTCCGTCTGTCTGTCTGTCTGTCTGTCTGTCTGTCTGTCCGTCTGTCTGTCCGTCTGTCTGTCCGTCACACTTTTTGGGACACAATAACTCTCTTCCTAATTGAGCTAGAATGTTCAAACTTGGTGTATGTGTTTATTAGGTCAATGCCTTGATGGAGTTCGAAGATGAGCATTTTCCGCTTAGGGTAAGCAGAGATAAGCAATTTGATTGGTTGATGCTTTGGGACACGATAACTCTCTTCCTAATTGGGCTAGAATGTTCAAACTTGGTGTATGTGTTGATTAGGTCAATGCCTTGATGGAGTTCGAAGATGAGCATTTTCCGCTTAGGGAAAGCAGAGATAAGCAATTTGATTGGTTGATGCTTTGGGACACGATAACTTTTAATTGAGCTAGAATGTTCAAACTTGGTGTATGTGTTTATTAGGTCAATGCCTTGATGGAGTTCGAAGATGAGCATTTTCCGCTTAGGGTAAGCAGAGATAAGCAATTTGATTGGTTGATACTTTGGGGCACGATAACTCTCTTCCTAATTGAGCTAGAATGTTCAAACTTGGTGTATGTGTTGATTAGGTCAATGCCTTGATGGAGTTCGAAGATGAGCATTTTCCGCTTAGGGTAAGCAGAGATAAGCAATTTGATTGGTTGATGCTTTGGGACACGATAACTTTAATTCTAATTAAGTGAGATTGATGAAACTTGGTGTATAGTTTCATTACAGTAATACCTTGACTAAGTTTGATAATGAGCATTTTCTGCTCAGGGTAAGCAGAGCGATACGCAATTTGATTGGTCGAGACTTTGGAAAACAATAACTCTCCTACTTTGATTGTCCCCCGCCTTTCGAAGAAAGCAGGGAACTATTAAAATGGGTTCGTCCGTCTGTCTGTTTGTCTGTCTGTCCGTTCCGCTTATGGTAAGCAGAGATAAACAATTTGATTGGTTGATCTTCGAATTGAGTAAATGTTCATGCTTATTGTCCCCCGCCTTTCGAAGAAAGCAGGGAACTATTAAAATGGGTTCGTCCGTCTGTCTGTTTGTCTGTCCGTTCCGCTTAGGGTAAGCAGAGATAAACAATTTGATTGGTTGATGCTTTGGGACACTATAACTTTAGTTCTAATTAAGTAGATAAACAATTTGATTGGTTGATGCTTTGGGACACTATAACTTTAGTTCTAATTAAGTGAGAGTGATGAAACTTGGTGTATAGTTTCATTACAGTAATACCTTGACTAAGATCGATAATGAGCATTTTCTGCTCAGATTAAGCAGAGCGATAAGCAATTTGATTTGCTGAGACTTTGGAACACAATAACTCTCCTTCGAATTGAGTTAAAATGTTCAAAATTGGTGTGTATGCTTATTGTCCCCCGCCTTTCGAAGAAAGCAGGGGACTATTAAAATGGGTTCGTCCGTCGTCTGTTTGTCTGTCTGTCCGTCACACTCCTTCGAATTGAGTTAAAATGTTCAAAATTGGTGTGTATGCTTATTGTCCCCCGCCTTTCGAAGAAAGCAGGGACAACCAAACTCTAGATCTGTAGGCATAGAGCATGTTTTACCCTTAATATGCTATAATTATTCCATCAAAAACATTGTATGCTTAGACTATAAGTAAAGATATACTGTTTGATTGTTCAATACTTTGTAAAAGATAATTTGTGATAAATTTATATGTGTCCTCTAATTATTTTCCTATTTCGGCGGGGGACATCAGCCTCACTGTTGGCTTGTTCCTAAACTTCTTGTAAGGACAGTTTTTCAACGGTAGCAATAAGATTTTAAAAAAAAAACCCATTAATATGAGTATCGGCTCTTGCTGTATATTTGCATCACAGAATATTTTTACAGTTTGAAGATGTTATCCATTCTTGTAATCCCCAGTGAAAGTATAAAAATGATGTCTGATATTTGCTGATATCACTTGAAGAGTATCGTATAATAATGGTTGTAATTTAACTGTCTAATATACAGTCTACTGGGATGCTCTCTTATGGCATATATATTACCCAGATTTAAGGATACTACTCCTCTTTACGTCCCTAGAGAGCGTGATATTACTGATTGCTGGCATGTATAAACAGTTTATATGTAACAATAATCATAATATCATTGTTTTTATGAGTAAGATATAGACCTGTAGGCATATTATAGTTTTATATATTATATTATTTACTGAATCATAAAATTCAGACAAAGTATAATGATTACACAGCTGTAAAAAATTACTAAAATGATGGGAATTTCTTGTAAGTCATATATTCTTCGATTCACTCATGTTACATATAAATGCACCTGAAGAAGTAACAACTTGAATATAAAACCTTCTGATAATAGCCACATAAAAAAAGTAGTTATTCTTTTACATAGAAAGAGTTTCAGAATAAACTGAATCCATTCTCATCAAAAAATATCATAAAACGTACATTGAATTGAACATGTATTGTAAATTTTCTATAACCATTAAAAAACCCCACTGTCATATGATATTTATCATTAACAATGGATCAGTGTTTATTTCGCCAATGAAAAAATCAATCAAATGCTATTGAGTTTAAAATTGATTTTAATATTCCATTTGATAGAATACTTTCATCTTCATGATAGCAGTCATATCTATCATTTAAAATGGGCCTTGTTTTTATTTCTTTAAACCCAATAGCATTTGATTGATTTTTTTCTTAAAGAAATAAACACAAGATCAATTTTGAATATATTATAGTCAGATTTCTTATTGATCCTTTAAACCCAATAACATTTGATAGATTTTTTCATTAAAGGACTAAAACGAAATATTTGATCTGTGAAAGATATTCTCAATCATTTCAATTAATCCTGAAATTTAATCTTTAATGTTATAAAATATAATTTTCTTTAATATATATTTGTAGCATTTGCTGAACTACAGACGGACATGACAGAATTAACAAGTGACAATGTTGGTCAAGTATCAATACCATTCTGGGATTATCGTACATTCTGTATGAAGGTTTTATTTCCGGGACATGAAGATCATATGGTAGTTAGAGAACTACAGGTATGTGACAGCACTATGTAAATATCCTAATTCCTCATTAGATTGCTGTTCAATTCAGTTAAAATGATAAATGTTTTTCATTGCATTTTCAGATTTCTAGAAACTATAAATACTATAAATGAATATAATTTCCATTATATGTTTATTTTTGAATACTGGTTGATTTCATTGATTTAAATATAGTAAATATTTCATTGGACAATAGAAAACAAAATGAAATGAAATTATCATTAGTTTTTTTTGACATTGATATAATTTGTGTGAGTATTGGCAAGGAAGTACATGTTTGTTGCAATTTACTTTCTTTTCCTAGGTTGACATTAGACACAACAGAGAAGATATTGAGAGAGGACTACAACAATTCTTTCAACTTATCAGCAATAAAACTTTCCTACTTATATTTATCCGAACGTTAGAATCAAATCGTAACTTCCAGCTCAAAGATCGTGTAAATGTAGCATCTCTGATATCTGTTGCTCTACAAACTAAGATGGAATATGCCACCGAGTGAGTAAATTTTATTACAGCTTGAATAAATCAAAACTGTGCATCATTAATATTCTTAACATAGTTTCCAAATATTGTAATCTTTATTGTCAAAAAGCTCATTCAAAAGCATTTTCTCACTTTTATTTTGTATATCTATATTTTAATATTTATCTGATTTCTTTGCTTCCAGTATTTTAAAAACACTTTTAGCAGATCTAATAGAAAAGTCTGTTGAAGGCTTGAAAAATCACCCTAAGTTATTACTCAGAAGGAATGAATCTGTAGCAGAAAAAATGTTGACAAATTGGTTTACATTCCTACTCTATAGGTTTATGAAAGTAAGTAAAAAAAATCTAAAAATATATTTCTTTGTGTGTAAAAATTGTAGTCAATATTTCAAAAGAGCATAAGAGACCCTTGTGACTTTTTTTTTAATAACTTGAACTTTGGAGTAAATGTAGTTTAAAATGTCATTGAGTAAGACAATATTATGATATGTTTTGTAGGACTGTGCTGGTGAACCATTATTTATGTTATATCAAGCTATGAAACAACAAGTATCTAAAGGACCAGTAGATGCCATAACAAGTGAAGCCAGATATTCACTTAGTGAAGATAAATTAATTAGACAACAGATTCAATATAAAAATATGGTATGATATTATCTCTTCAACTAGATCTAAAACATATATATTCTTATACAAATATTTTAATGCCAGTTAGTGAAAGTAGAAAAGATGAATGAGGCCACTGATGTTAATATAAATCAAAGTTAATTCTACTTGCTGTTTTTGTCAACCTTCTTGAAACAATTGATTCCAACATAAATCTTGATGCAGTGATGTCCTCTTTTGATATTGAAATGGGGAAAGAAGAACATCCTAGAAAAATATGATTTCATTACCAACTCCCTTTGAGGTCAACTTTAAGCCACTTCGATTAGTTAAAACCATTCTGGCCAAATCCAAATTATCTGTTCATTGGCCAGATGATAGATCAGGTCAGGTCAACTTGAACACAGATTTCTTAAAGATGTTAGATTGTCTAGGTGTAAATAAATGCAAACTACATAAAAATAACCCCCAAAATTTGGGCTTACACCCCCTGTATAAAAGTGAATGATTGTATTTTTCAGACTGTACATGTTGTAGATGTAGATAGTTTAACACAACAGACACATCCTGTTAAAGTTTTAGACTGTGATACCATATCTCAAGTTAAAGAGAAAATCTTAGATGCTATTTATAAAAATGCTCCATTTAGCAGTCGACCTTTGAAAGATAATTTAGATCTGGGTAAGTTAAACTCAATGTCTCAGTTATTTTGTAGTGCAGAGTCAAAAATAGTAGATAACTTCTATTTTAAATGTTTAAATCAAACTAATTATTAGATTTTAAAATTAATAGCATCATTAGTGTTGTAATAATTAGAAAAAATCCTTTCTAACAAATTTACATATTTCTGACTAAACATGCTGATTGTTTAACGCTGATTCAGGAATCTTATTACAAAATTTGGTGATATATTGGTCATTCAATAAACTATTTTTGAACCTGATCAATTATTATTTTTGACTCGTATCTACGATAAATTTATTCTCTCAACCCTGTTTTTCATTTCATCATTTCCATCATGCATCATGCTTCCAGCATCAAATTATGTTTTTTTAGTTTTTGGGTTTTTTCCTGACTCCCCAATTTTTTTTTTTGCTTTTATGTGTATTTCAGTGTATATAATGCCAAAGAAATTAGGTTAGTCTAGATTTTATGTTGATTTCAGTTTATTAATTTTTAGCACCATTTTAGTTTTCACACCAAATCTTTTTCTAATTTTCTTTTTTGTTTGATATGTTTTTTACTATTATTTTTAAAAGCAACTCACCTATTCAACTCAAAACTAAGACAGTATTCTTTGAAATAATGTCAAAAATGTGTCTTGATTTTCAAATAATATAAAAACAAAAAATGAATAAATGTGTTTCATTCACATTTCAATGAGGCAATATGAACAAATTGAATATACTTACATTAGAAATTCTTAGCGTGAGATAAGTTAAACTGCTTCAAAAACATTTTTTGAATAAATGACATGAAAATAAATGTAGATATTTCAAGCTATCAAAGAAAAGTATTCTAATTCGGTTGATGTTACTTTCAAGTCTTCAATTAAAGATACTACCCATACCGTGGGGAAACAATACTCAGTCTGTATACTGTAACACAATAATGTAAGTGAATTCGGTACAAATTGATCTGGTCCTGTGGTATTCCTCTGACAGTCAAAACTGTTATTATCTTTCAATCCACTGAAGAATATATATATTTGAGTTACAAAGAAAGTAGTCTTTCCTTAGATAAAAAAGTTTGAGTTTTTTTATTTAGATTTGGGCTGGGAATTGGCAGAGTTTTTAGAATTATCACTAAGGAATTACAGGTCTGTTTGATCAATAATTTCTTGGAATCGATTTAACCTATAATCATTTTTCTGCACAGGACCTAGAGTCGATATATCAATATATGATGGCAAACAATACCGGTCAGTACCACAGCAGCATGTACCATTTATATTCATTGTCAAATCATAATTTATAATAACTCAAGTTATTTATTGAAAAATTTATTTGCTATCATTCTGAATAATAATAATCAAATCTGATGTGCTACAATCTGATTAAAATACAGATCCATATTTCGTTTCGTTTTTTATACTTTCGATGACCTACACTACATGAAGATCTGACAAGTTATAGCGATAGGTCACGTCAGGGGTCAAAAGACTGACTTTGACCTATGACGTCAGACATTTGATTAACCAATCAGCATTGATGTTACTAGTGGATTACCCACAGTTCCGGGCAAAAAAGGTCAAACACTCGATTCGACAGACCATTTGATTGGCTGACCCCTCATTTCAAGCAGAACACGAGTTAAATAACAAGTCTCCCAGATCCAAGTGTAGTAAAGACAAGTAAAACGAAATTTTGAACTATAAAAACGAAACGAAATGGGATCTGTGTTTTAACCAGATTGGATATGCTAGTATTGGATTTGGTCATCATGTTTCCACAGCCATAGTTGGGTTGAGAGACTTGATGATCTGGCTTATTGTCTCAAAGATACATAGTTTAAAAGATACATAGTTTGAGTTGAAAGAGCTGTTTTATAATAGTAACAAAACTCTTAAAATACTTCAGCAGAAAAGTTAACAAAAATTAAGAGGATTTTTTTTTCTTTTTGGAAGGGAATCTGCAGTGTTGATTTAATAATTTTAGTTGTCTTTTGTAATCTTTTAGTCTTTTATTTAGTTTCTTTTGACACTTGCATTTTAATTTAATTTATTTTTTGTGACCCTTTTTTTAGTTCATTCTTTCTTCTTTTTGCATGTTTTTAACAATTTGTATGAGGGTTGCACTTCATTTAATGCTTTAATAATTTAACTGTATTTGATAGCTACGTTGTTGGTATGAAGGGTGAACAATTCACAAAACAATCAAAAATTAGTCTCTGTTATTTGGTCTTTAAAACTTTGTGGTTGTCGGTTTGAAAAAATTCTTGATCTCAGTAGAAATAGATACTGTCAAATTATTAAATATTGTTAATATATTCTTAATACTAAATACTACTAGCAATTATGACTGCTTTTCAACAACCCATGATGTGAGAATTTAATAAAAATGGTGATACATGCAAGAGAAAGTGCAGAATTGTAACGAATTGTAGCATTTTGGTTAATGTATATAATATATGTATATGGCAATACCACATACATTGAACTGTTAGCTCACCACAATTACTCATTTTCATTCATTTGTTTTTGGGATATAGATTACTAGGATGGATATTATGACATTCATGTCTAAGAACAATAACATCTTCTAACATTATCTAACAACCAGCCAACAAAGGCTTATATCATCTCAAATTTCCACTTCAAGAAAAATGTTTGCCAATGCATATCTATATATAAATAATTTCAACTAGCTTTACCTTCGCTCTATTCTATGGCAATGAAAGTAGAGTATTTGTTTTTCCCAGAGAAGTTTTATAAAAGAAATATGCTGGGAATGTTTCACAAAAGGCGAGAAAAAAAAAGTTTTTAATGCACATAGAATTGCTTTGAAATGCTATTGTGTTCCTTAATTAATAGACTAGACTACTATTTATGTTATCAATTAACAAAGAATTTATACATTAACACAGAACAGTGACTTCTAAGTTTAAAATGATACAATTTGATATTAAATGCTGCTCTTTATTGCTAGCTTTGGTGCATTCATTCCTTTCATAATAAGTTAGGATAATATTACTGTAGAATCTGGTATAGATTTGTATTTTGAAACTAGTGGGAATTTTAAGTCTGAAGACTTTAGCCTTTGAACAAACTTTATGTAAAATCAACTTGTCTGAGAGGCATTAGGTAAGATTAGACAGTTCTCGCTACAATAGTTAAAAAATAGATAATGAAAACAGAATGTGCTGAAAATTTCAAATTGTTTATCTCTCAACCGAGACATTAGCAATTCAGTTTTTAGGCTAGCCTCGAACGTCATTAATGAATGTCTAATTAATAATTTAGATAACATTTCAGGCCTAAAGAAAGACCTGCAATAGTAACATTAGCTCTTGCATAATGCATGTTAAAGTAATTTTCCCCAAAAAGTGATAAAATGCAATTAATGCATTAAGCCATATGAAGTCAACAATTTTAAGTCAACAAGTTCAGATGGCAAAGTTAAACCACTTTGGTTTTTGTACAGATCTAAATTGTGTAGGCTATGTCAAAGACAAAAACAGTCAAACAACATTTGTATTGTCACAAGATGTAGACTTAAAACTAGGGTCATCTTAAACATACATTATGCAAGAACTAAATCTACCTATTGCAGGTCTTTAGTCCTGGCGGGCAAAGTGGGTAAGACGCTGGCTCGCTAGCCTGGAGGTCGGGTGTTCGATCCCTGCATTGGCCGAGAAAGTTCATCTAGATTTTCCGGCGTCAGTGATGCAGGACGGAGGGCCTGACAAAGACAGCTGTCTAGTCGTTCGGATGGGACGAAAAGCCGAGGTCCTTTGACAATTGGAATTCGATATAAGAGTAGGCCGTAGTGCTGCTGTCTGGGCAAAATTTCCCTCATAGCAAACTGTATGACGTATGCCCGTCTTCATTAGCCCAGTTTGGAGCAGAATAGTAGGACGTTAATCCTCATTTCATTTTATTTCTTTAGGCCTGAAATGTTATCTAAATTATTAATTAGACATTAATTAACTTATTCAGGCCATACTCAACTCTTGATGGCATCAGATTTCTCCGATATTAAATAGATTAGAACAGTTTTGCCATATTTTGATTTAAGCTAAAAATGGAGGAGCGAGACTTAGCTTCGAACAACCAGTATGGTGGCTGAAATTATTGTCAAACCTTCAAAGGCTAATGTCTTCACTCGCAATAGAGTGATTTGAATGAAATTTTCAAATTATTCATTTTACATTATCTATTGTCGAATTCTTTCCCAGTATTCGGACAGAACCATTGGAAAAACTACAAATAAGAAAACGTATGACAAATACAATCTTCCAATGCCTATAATGATCTATTGATAATGGTAATTACAGCCTTCAGATTTTAGAATAGGATTTCATTAGTCAGTATCGCAGATCATGAAATAAAAATATACAACCTCTTACATTGAAGCTGATTATAAAACAATATGAAAGCAATCTATACCAGACAAGAATAATATTATCTTATATAGAGATTTACTTAATATTAATTGTCCTTGCATGTTCATCATAATATGGTTGCTCAACACTGCAGAGCGGGGCTTTTTCTATAATTGGGTTTTTGTTCATATCTTATTGGCAGTTTTATTTGATCATAAACCAGAATGGCTGAATCCTTCCAATGAAAAAGTACAAGGTTACCTCCCCTCACAGAAAGATACTCACCGTTTAGTGTTACATGATGAAGATCACACATCAAAGATGGAAAGTGATTGTCGTAGGTTAAACACACTCTCACATTATAAGGTAAGGAAGCTTTTATTTATTATCAATAATTACTGGATGATCTCGTTTCACCATTAATATGCAGGAGGAATGCTGAATCAGAGGACATTGAATTCATCAAGAAAAGATGATTTGTACATGGCTATAAAGTTGATCTTTTATTCAAGAAATATTTATTATGTTAATATACAAATCATATGTTTCTTTTAAAGAAGAATTTAAATTTGATATTATAAAAAAAGAAACCGGACTGAATTTTGATAATTTATTTGTAGGTTCCTGATGGTGCTTATGTTGCTCTAGAAATAAAAACAACTTATAATAGTAGTATCATGTCAGATAGATCACTCAGATTTGGTAAATATAATATACTAATTACATTATATTTGAATTTCATTAGGATTGTTAAGACTGTACTCCTTTTTGCACAGTGGTGAGATTTACCATCCTGGTTTGGCCATAATTATCCATTGGATGATTTTGTATACTGACAGAAGACCTATCTTCATTTCTATTTGTAAACTCTTGTTTGGGAAAACAGTCTCTATTCACTGGTTTTAATCAGCTAGTCACGGTGAAAATTATTTCTGCTCCGTCAGTCTTTTTTGGGGGGAGGGGGGGGAGTCTAATTTTCCTTAAATGTGATTAAATAGTATCTTTAAGATGAACCTCCAACTGAGGATAAATAATATTGAATTGGTTTGTTTTTTAGTATTTTTGACTTGCAATGGAAACTTTATTGATGTATATGTATTTTTTTTTTCTTTCTCCCAGATAACTTGTCATTCTACAACAACAGAAGTCCATCTTTAAATAGAACAACATCTCCCCAATCTATACATGTAGATGTAGATAATGTTAAAAGTTACCATCTTGTAAGTAAATATTATCTTACTATATATTCCTGAATAAGTTATAAATTAATTTATAATCCTTACCCTGTGGAGAGTCATCACATGTTCACTAAATCAAAGTATGTTGGGACATCACTATAAGGCTGGAATCAACATGGTTTTCGATTCCCCACTTGTAAGTGACAAGGAGTAGGGTTGCTTGTCCAACCTCATGGGTTTCCTCCCACTGCTAAACATTCCCACTCGCAATCGAATTATGGTAATAAAATTGAACCATATTTTAGTCCCAAAATGACCTGGTATGTGTCAAGTGGACATTCAACCCCATTTCTCTCTCTTCAGTACGCAGAGAACTGTGTATAAGGTAGGTGTAATCAGTGAACATCAACATTATAGTGAAGTCCTTCAATGTGAAGTATTTAATTGACAGGAAGATTAGTTAGAATACAAGAATAGTTTATAAGATATGTTATTATATTTGAATGAAATGTTTTGTAGGTCAGACATCATGATTCTGATATTCAGAAGGAAGGTGATAGAGGTAGTAAAATGGTGTCAGAAATATATCTTCCACGTTTATTGGTTACAAAGGTATTGTATATAGGCTTGCTCCATTATAAATATGATTTGTTTTTGATAATTTAAAATTATTATTAATCAGGATGTAAAACTTCGAACAAGTTTAATTAGAAGACTATTATGAGTATTATGACTGTTTATATTTAGTCCGATGTGAATATAAAACAATATGTATGAAATTGATATGTTTTTACAGGGAACATTACAACAGTTCGTTGATGATTTGTTTGAAAGAATATTTAGTACAGCTCATCGTGGTAACGTTCTTCCTTTAGCTATTAAATATATGTTTGATTTTCTGGATGATCAAGCCTTGTTACATAACATCCAGGATAATGAAACTGTACATACATGGAAATCTAACAGGTAAATATTAAATAAATCTTTATATCAAATTAATCATACATGTGCTTAGTCATCTAGTGGTTTAGCAAGTGCACATGTATCTTAAGGTCTGTCATTGAGTCAAGTGGCGTAGTTTCAATTCCCTGCTAGTACGTGACAAGGAGTAGGGTCACCTGTCCAACCTTGTGGGTATTTTCCTGTTTCCTCCCACTGCTAAAGACCCCTACATGCAATCGAAATATTGAAATACAAGTTAACCATATGTTAGTCACGAAATGACCTAGTTTGTCTCGAGTGGACTTTAAAATTGTAAGCGGAAAGTTATTAGTTAGCTCACAATAAGAATAATTTAATCCTTAAATTTCAACCAAAAGTTTGACAGATGTCTTTTTGCTTGTATATGAAGAGATAGGTTATAGTGTGTGCAGTGTAGATATACACCACACACAAACACACGTTACACTTCTCCAAGTGATGGCTGTACATGTTATATTTGATATTGAATAATGTTTCCCATTCATAGCCTGTAAGATACAGTTCTTCATCTTAACAAGATTACATTTTACTTCAACTCTTTCATTTTACTTTGCAGTTTACCGTTACGATTCTGGGTGAATGTGATGAAAAATCCTAATTTTGTGTTCGATATATATAAATCAAATATTGTTGATTCCTGTCTTTCTGTTGTGGCACAAACTTTTATGGACAGTTGTTCAGTGCATGAACATGTGTTAGGGAAAGATTCCCCGTCTAGTAAACTGCTTTATGCAAAGGAAATTCCCAAATATAAACAGTGGGTTGATAGGTAAGAATTTTTCATTTCTATTATTTACAAATCAGAATGTCAGAATTTCATTTGACAGTGTGTGTTTGAAATAGGATTATTTAATTCCTGCTCTCATCAGGATGATAGTCTGAAGGAACAAAATATTCTTGTAACATTTCTAGAAATACTGTAATTGACTATAGGTGACTGTAAGAACCATTTTTTATAAGCCCACATTTTCATGTGGACGTATTTTGTCGTCGCCCCTGTCCGTCCAGACGTCCGTCCGTCCACAATTTGTTTGTGGACACTCTACAGGTCACAATTCTTATCAGATTTTGACGAAACTTGAAATATAGGTTTATCTCCAAAAGATCTCGGCTGCTTTCGATATTGGCATGTATCGGATCAAAACTTCATGGATTATGGCCCCTGTTTGTACGAAAAATCATGTTTTTAGCTTGTGGACACTATAGAGGTCACAAATTTAATCCGATTCTGTTGAAACTTGAAATGTAAGTTTATAACCCAAAGATCTTGGTTCCTTTGGATATTCGAACATATCGGACCGTAACTTCCTGAATTGTACGAAAAATCACGTTTTTAGCTTGTGGACCCTATAGAGATCATAATTTTTATCCGATTTAAAAAAAAACCGTATTATTATATCACCGTTAAACCCTAAGGACGGATGAGTTCGAATTTCGTGAAAATCGGCCCAAAACTGACAGACAAAATGGCCGCCCTTCGTTGTCAAATAGCGAAAAAATATGGTATATCAAGGTTGTGGACCCAATAGAGGTCACAATTTTTATCCGATTTTCTTGAAACTTAAATGTTAGTTTATTACCTAAAGATCTCGGTTCCTTTCGATATTTGTGCATATCGAATTGTAATTTCTTGAATTATGGCCCTTGATTGTAGGAAAAATCACTTTCTTTTTAGCTTGTTCTCTATCCATCTCTCGAAAATGTCTGGCTGGCAGCCGCTGGTTAAAGGATTATAATTCTTTCTATGCATACATCTTCTTGAGTTATTTGCCACACTTAAAACTGAAGGTGCTCACTTCCACGGATTTAATGTGATTGAATATTTGTAATTATAATAAAACATTGTATTATTCAGGTATTATCAAGATATCAAGATGATGCCTGCTATCAGTGATCAAGATATGACTGCTATGTTAACTGATGAGTCTAGGGTAAGTTACAACACTCTTAACATTTATTCATTTAAACCAATACAGATTTAAAAAAAAGCCTTGAAATTGTTTTATTTAGTATAACCTAGAGATATAAAATTTTAAACAAAAATCGATTAGTAAGATGACAGTAATAAAATAAGAAAGCTATTTTGTTGTTTAATAAAAATATTTCCTATGACAGTGTTACAATTTAGAACAAATGAGAATACTCCATACTTTAGTAATCCATGTTTTGTATATTATAACTTTTATGCCTACACACTTCGCCTATATCACCAAGTCACTGCTGAACTTGTAATGGCTTTCCTTTCAGATTTGAAATGGAATAGCCAGGGTTTTCCATTCATAGCTATATTTTTGTTCAGAACCAACAGTTTGAATAATTATATTTTCCAATCTTTAGTTCTGTATTTTAGCTAATGGCTGTCTGCAAAATGTATCTTTAAAAATGATGTAGATGATTTCCCATCTTAACCTAAATGTGGTCACTTAAAAAAATGCATCTGTAGCCTTGAACCATGTTCAGTTTTACAAATGTACTGTTTCAGACTTATTGTAAATTTAAATATTTTTTCCCCAGGTTCATCAACAAGAATTTAATACAAATGCTGCTTTATATGAACTGTATAAATATGTGTTGAAAAACTACAATGAGGTAAGGTCTATTTTAACATTATAATTAACTTCTGTAAAGGATTGACATTAATTATAAAATATGCTTTAGATCTACAGACTACATATATAATATTGTCGATGAGCAGTCAAATCTGGGTTTTGCGAAATTGTCCATGAGTCAGAAATCGCATGGAGGTTAAGAATCAAAATGTCTTATAGAAACATCATGGCAAAATGTTGTATGTAAAATGATGTATTTCAGAAGATTTTTGCAAATATTTGTGTAAAAAATGAATGTGTAGCCGTTTAATCAGTATGTAGCTATCCGCACATATCGGGCTAAACATCTGGTGCAGAAATAGGAATTGAAAACTAGTTATTTGCAATTATATACAGCAAAAATGTATCTCTGGAAAAAGTTCACCTTTACCTGCTTCAATTTCATAGATTTCACACAGTAGAAGCTCAACAATAATTTCAGTAATATTACACTGGCTACCGTTGTTTTGATTGTAATGCTTTGTAAGATACAAAGGTGAATTTTTAAGGAAATATGACATTTTCGCTTTCAATATTGATATTTTATTAGAATGCCCCATATACAACATTTTGAAACAATACCTATAAAACCTCTTTTTATTGTCCCCCGCCTTTCGAAGAAAGCAGGGGACTATTAAAATGGGTTCGTCCGTCTGTCTGTCCGTCTGTCTGTCCGTCTGTCTGTCCGTCTGTCCGTCCGTCTGTCTGTCCGTCTGTCCGTCCGTCTGTCTGTCCGTCACACTTTTTGGGACACAATAACTCTCTTCCTAATTGAGCTAGAATGTTCAAACTTGGTGTATGTGTTTATTAGGTCAATGCCTTGATGGAGTTCGAAGATGAGCATTTTCCGCTTAGGGTAAGCAGAGATAAGCAATTTGATTGGTTGATGCTTTGGGACACGATAACTCTCTTCCTAATTGGGCTAGAATGTTCAAACTTGGTGTATGTGTTGATTAGGTCAATGCCTTGATGGAGTTCGAAGATGAGCATTTTCCGCTTAGGGTAAGCAGAGATAAGCAATTTGATTGGTTGATGCTTTGGGACACGATAACTTTTAATTGAGCTAGAATGTTCAAACTTGGTGTATGTGTTTATTAGGTCAATGCCTTGATGGAGTTCGAAGATGAGCATTTTCCGCTTAGGGTAAGCAGAGATAAGCAATTTGATTGGTTGATACTTTGGGGCACGATAACTCTCTTCCTAATTGAGCTAGAATGTTCAAACTTGGTGTATGTGTTGATTAGGTCAATGCCTTGATGGAGTTCGAAGATGAGCATTTTCCGCTTAGGGTAAGCAGAGATAAGCAATTTGATTGGTTGATGCTTTGGGACACGATAACTTTAGTTCTAATTAAGTGAGATTGATGAAACTTGGTGTATAGTTTCATTACAGTAATACCTTGACTAAGTTTGATAATGAGCATTTTCTGCTCAGGGTAAGCAGAGCGATACGCAATTTGATTGGTCGAGACTTTGGAAAACAATAACTCTCCTACTTTGATTGTTAGACTATAAATAAAGATATACTGTTTGATTGTTCAATACTTTGTAAAAGATAATTTGTGATAAATTTATATGTGTCCTCTAATTATTTTCCTATTTCGGCGGGGGACATCAGCCTCACTGTTGGCTTGTTATCTCAGAAATATGACAACTAGATGAAAAGATGCGCAAAAAATCTTTCTAAAGACGCAAAAAGTGAATTTTGTAAAAAAAAAAAATGCCAGATAAGGCCTTTTCACTTCCCACCGACGATATGTGCAATGATTTATTTGAATTAAAAGTGTACTAGAAAAAACTTTTGTCAGGTTTTGTATCAAAATCCCCTCAAAATTTAAGTTTTATGTAAATAGCTTTTAGTAATTTTGTTTTATTGTTGAGTATATTGATTAAGTACATGTTTATTTATTACAGTTAATGGAATCATTAGATGAAGATGAATTTGCAAGAAGAAGTAAATTACGTCATAAGTTAGAGAAAGTGAAAGCCGCCATGGATGGTGATGCAGTGTGCTGAAGTGCTACTACTATACAGCTAGTATATAAACAATGATAAACTGTTTTGATACAACAGGCAGATAAAGTGAACATGTTCTTGTGTGGAGGAGAACAGTTTAATAACGTGCTCAGTTTAAGTGCCAATAACTGAATATACTGATTCGTGATCTTCATGTAGATATATACGTGTGATTTATTAGGAAACATAACCATTGACTCAGGACAATTTTATATATATACCTATATATATATATATATATGTGTGTGTTAGTTTATGTTTAATTGTTTTGGTGCTTTGGTCATACCAGACGGTCTTGATTCACAGGATTAAGTTGGTGCTTAAGCCAGTCTATGCATTCAGTTAGTACATTACGGTGGATATATATTGACTAGCAGTTATTTCATTTTAACAATCAAAATATGTACACCAGCTTTGCATTTTGTGTGTGTGTGTGTTTTTTTAGTGGTCATTTTGAAAGTACCAAACTAGATGTTTTAAATAATAATAACCAATGCATTTGATATGATATATATATAATTATATGTATTTGACAGCTTACAATATAAGTATAATATATAAATAATGAGCTTTATTACTTATACGAATTATAACAAACAGTATTGTGTCTTATATACATTTTTTTAATAAAAAAAAAAATTACATTAGAGTTTGTATTGAATTATTATTCTAATCAAAATGGTTATAATATATATGTATGTATACAGTATGACAAACCTTTATTTGCTTTAGGTGATGCTAGTCAAATGATGAAAATAGTGGCATGTACATAAATAATATATTAACCGTAGGATTATCATCATACATCATAGTATATATAAACTTGTATAAAACCATTAATATATATTCAGTTTGACTTTAGCATTGACTTTCAAAAATAACACTATTTTAGTGACAAATTAATCTTGATCTGAAAGGATGTTTTACATAGTAATGTGCTGTTTATTTTGTAACTCTCAAGTTGCTGGCTGGAAACACACTTTGTGTTAAATCTACTTAGCGTGGATTTCGCTAAAAAATTTAGTAAGATTGTTTCATAGATGAAATGCTAAACTTAATATACAACTGCTCTGTACTTACACCTAGGGCAGACGAGCGTATTTTTTCGCCCGATCAAGCCGATTGTTAAAATTGCTTGAAGAAAATCACCTGTGTCCTTTTACCGCGACAACGATTCTACTTGTCGCCCAACCAATCCCGGTATCTAGCATAAGCCAACCATTTTCATAAGCCAGTCAGAGACATTATTGATATCACATGATCTCAAAATAGCTTCCTCCACTGCCAAAGCGTGGAGTCTAACGAAAAAAGAAAAATTGGTGATTCTTTGGTCAAAAAGGCCTTGCCTGTTTGATGTCACGATCACAATTCCAGAGTTTTAGAAGCAAATAAATAACAGCATGCTTACGTTTTAGGTGATTCGTCATTTTGTACAAGTCACATGATCAATGTTATTTACTCGTAGAGTGGCATATGCTCTTGAGACGATCGCTACGTGTGCCCACTCGTGATCGGCTGTAAAAAATCGCTGGCGATCAGGCATAAAAATACGCTTGTCTGCCCATAGCTTTAAAGTGTTGCTTGTGTAGAGGAACTATTGTGGAAAGTTTCTTCTATTCAAATTGTAGACTAAACATAAGCTTTATATATCTGATACATGTTCTTATATTCCTGTATATTGATATAACCACACTGTTTGATATGAATTATCATTTTAAGTCTTATCACATGCTTTGCCAAATGTTCATGATTTACATGATGAGTAAAACAAATTCCGTTTTCATTGGTTCAATATCTTCTGAGTGCCTTTTGTGATTTTAGTTGTTCAAAACTTTTAAATCATTGCTAAAAAAAGATAGAACATGAACTTTAATATACTTAACCAGTTTGGTAGAAAATGAATACATTTATGAAATCACCTTTTGTCAACTAACTTAATCACAAAGTTTTTGTAAATTGTTTTTAACTGTTTTATTTGAAGATCTTATAACTTTCATGTATTATTACTTGTATGTATCACTAATATAAAATGGCATTTTGGATGAATCAAATGAAAATTTGAAGCTAAACGTCTTTGATTTATGTCAAAATAAATTATATAATTGATTTAATATATTATATTAATTCGATTATTAATGGGACAAGCTTTATACAATTCAAATTTTAATTTGAAAGATTAAGATGGTTTGTTTACTAAGTTCAGTTTCAATTTTGAATTATTCTGTTGACAGTGGCATACAAAATAAATTATATCTCAACATTGGTTTTATCTATTGGGGAAAATTTTTGAACATAAAATCTGCTGAAATGGACACTTTTATTTTTCACCCAGATCTATTATGGAAGTAATGTCTTTGAATTGAAATCAAAATTATGTCTGATTTCCTGTGTGTTTAGAAAGGTTAATACATAGCTTTACTTGTGTTTATATGTGTACTGTTATTAGTTTTATCTGTCGACTGCTGATATATACAATATAATAATAATGTATGGTTCAGGTATGTGTATAATTGTTATTGTTAAACTTTGTATACAGTAGTTAATTAATCAGACAAATGTCGCAAGTTTCTAATTAGAATTGTGCCTAATTAATGTTGTTAAAATATTTCATGGCAATTTAAATATATCCTGTTTTTTTCTATGTTATAATACATAAGGCACGGTAGTATGTGTGGTAGCCTCTCTTGAGATTAAAGTTTTTAATAATACTACTACTACTAGATTATCCTGGAACTGGAGTCCCAAGTTTGGATGTTTTTTGCAGTCTTTTTTATTTATATTTAAGTAAATGTGTTATATTAAGTAATACCATTTATTAGCTAATACCTGAAGTACGGTAGTCCAAGACCATTTTATTTATTATTAATTTCATTTTTATCAGAAATATTTTTACAACTACAACCTACTCCAAACTGATGAAGAGTATAACATAATAACGAATGCATGTCTTCCTAAACTTCTATTTAAAAAACATTTAGTGAAATTATATTCCTTTCGTCATCTTTCATGAATTATCAATTCAATTTCAGTATATTTTGATAACCATACAAATTTTCTAATGAAATGTTTTATTTACGAGGTTAGAAATTATATATATTTTTGTATATTTATGGTTATATTAATTAAGTTTTCAATTATATTAGGGAACATTTCTACACCTGATTTTAGTTTATTTGCTGTGTTAATTGTAAATTATGTATATAAACAAGAAAATTCTTTCTTCTGCTATGCAATATAATCATGGAACTATACTTTGCAATGAGTCAAAATTTAGGAATGGCTTTAAATATGAAAACGAGATATCATACCTTTTTTCTCTTCAATTTCATTAATAGCAGATATTTATTTTCTTATCTATCTTCTAAATATTAAGTTATTTATATGCATGTTTTCGTCTTTTGAGAAAATGGTTACCATGTTCCTTGTTCTCTAACATAACTATGTCTGCTGTAGTTTTATTTTAATTACATTGTACAGTTTTTATACTCTTAAATTTTATGTAGGAGTATATTGTCGTCACTCCTGTAGGTCTGTCCACCATTCTTGTAAACTTTCTACAGATCAGAGGTTTTGAAGGTTTTTTTTTTCTTTCTTAACTTGCAGGAATCATTCATTTAATCTCATCAAAATGCAGCATTTAGTGCCCCTGTGACCTAACCCTTGTAAACACTTAGATTAAATGTCTTATGTTTTTGCAATTTTATTCTTAATGAGATCACTACTAAAATTCAGACTTGCCCATTAATTTTAAGGCTAACCACAGTTATTGCCCCTGGCCCTCAAAGTGTGCATGAAATAGCATTATTTAACGTCTGCTTCCACTGAGGTGATATAGCAGACAAAGCCTTGTAAACCTGAAAGCCACCCTTTAATGCTAATTTTTATAGTTTCAGTTCTGAATATCAAACATTTAGAATTTGTACTTAATTTAACCAATATTCAGAAGCTATCAAAATATACCAACTGTTTTGTATAAGAATTTTTTCTTTTATAATTTTTTTTTATATACATCATCAATGTTCATAAACTGTATATTCATCATATCATAATTTCATATATTATTCTATACAGAGTTCAATATCTGGAATTCATTTCATTTATTAAAGTTGGCTGTAGAAATTTGTATAAAGCTCTTTTATATGGAAATAAATGAAAAAAGTTGATTTGACATTGTGATTCCATAGCCTGCTTTAATAGTGGGTTGTCTCCCTTTATTCTCCTGAATTTCTGGATCATAAATCAATCATAAGACAAAATCGCAGAAAAGAAGATATCTTTTGTAATAACTTGTCTGATTGTTATAGTATTTACCCCATAGCAGTAACTATAGTTGGTTTTAAATGCATTCTACAGCCCAAAAATTTGTAAGGTAGGTGATACTTGATAGAAATCTGGTTTAAGGCACCAACCGAACTAATCAAAAGGAAATTTTGCCTGGTCAGTCGCACAGGGGACTACTTTTAAATTCCATCTGTCAATGATTCTTTTACATGCATTCCAACAGGACTAGACATAGTTCCTTGCGAGGCCCTCCCTTCTGCCTCATTGATGGATGAAACCACGCCTAAAAATCCTGAGGAACTTTCTTGGTCAACACCTGAAGATAAACCTGAGAACTTCTGGTAGGCGAACCTTCTGCTTACCCACTGAGCCACTACAGCTCCCCAATACTTGATTCAACAATCCCATGAATGAAGATTTCTAGCTAATGCATCTCTACCAAAAGGAAGGTAATTTGACTCACACCTCCACAGGATTAAATATCGTGTTAAAATAAGACTCATAAACAATTTACATTTATATTATTTATTACTCATGAAAAAAACAATTTTGTTCATATTGGCTGACAGTTTTGTTCATAAGCATATTTCAAATGAGTCGGTCATCTTATACACAGTATATGTCAACAAAGGTTTTTTTGATGTAGACATAAGCAGTAAAGCAATGATGGATTAATGATTTATATGACTACTAGACCACAAGCAATATATGGTATATATTTGGACGGCAAATAATAAAACATAGATATATGACTAATTGACTGAAAAACGTCAAAGAGATTCTTGATTGAATGTTCTGAAACTTAATTCTCCCAATCCCTCAAATGGTGTCAGTCTAGACCAATGGTCCTCAACCTTTTTACGCCATCGGCACACCTTGGAAGACAAGAAAAGAATAGCGGCATACCTGGCTAAATACCGGTATCTATAAAAAAATATCTGAATATTGCAATTCAGAGACCGCAAACAACCATAGACAGACTAGTCATTGACCCATAGAATGACTCGAACTAAAAAAAGAAAAATGCAGCCATGAACTTACTTTATTGCAGTGTTTCAAATAGCATCAGTCAAATGGCTGGTTTCTTTAGTGAGAAACTCTCTTAGTGTGCCGTTCAAACTTTCATGGTACACTTAGAAAGATCTCCAGCACACCTGTGTGCCATGGCACACTGGTTGAGAATCACTGATCTAGACCAATTACCATAGCTTAAACCTGAGATTAAGTCCTGATTCTGCTGGCAAATTGTGACAGGACTCAATGCTGTGACAATTGATTTCAAACTGACAATAAAGAACCCTTTATGTTTATACCTTATCCATTACAGGATATGAGATTAATTTTCTAATATAATATAGAATACCCTAAACAATAATTTTACATGTATTGTCATGTATATAATATAAATGAGTATTTGATAATATACAATATTGTGATAGCAAAACATCATTGGCCGATGTTAAAATCTTGACTGTAGCTCTCAGCCAATAAAACTAATAAGACCCCTGATTCTGCAGTATATAGTAATGTCTGCTGTATGACTACTGTGAATCAGACATTATGCCACTTAGCTACTACTAGTATATAACAACACCACATTCTACATACCATCATCAAATCAGTGAATTCAATCGTTTTATAAAGACCGTACAGATGTGATCACATCACTTTTATAAATTAGAACAATATCACAATTTTGATATTTTGTGCAAGGGCCATCTAGAATGTGGGTATCCTGTACCAAATCCGGGATATTTTCATTTTCCAGTAAAAGTTATTATCTATATACTCAGAGAAAAATAAACAGGCAATAAGTTTCAAAATATAAAAAAATATAAGTTCATACAAAAACACATTAAAATCATACAAGTATTTTAATTTAGGATGAATGAATATTTGTTGATGAATTAACTGTTATATATACATGGTACATGCACAAATGTTACAAAAATACAAATCTGAAACATCAAATTCTAAAGATATCGTATAATTTTGATTGCTACAGGTATGATAATGCTCCATAAAATCCATCTTATTTTAAATAAAATTGTCATAAATTACTATTCAAATGGTATGCTTTTGTCTCATTATTCTAGGCATTATGATACCATTATGGCCTGTCACATGTACACATAGTACATCAAAAATAAATATGGATTCAAGTTTAGGTAGTGGGAAGCACGGAAGTTTAATAAAAATAAACATATCCATGAAATATCTTAATGGCAATTATAAAATGGATTCAATTAAATTAAACGAAGTTTAGAATTTGATCTGATTTCTTTTGCAATCACTTAGAATTAATGTCCTATAGCATCAATTCTTAGTATTCAAAAATAAAATCAGAATGGATTTTGAAACAGAACCAAAACAAATTAAACTCTTAGTTCATTAAATGTAAAATATGACTAGCATAAACACTTGAGTTAAATAAACAAATAATATAAATAACAAGGACCTTTTCATCAAATATAATTGGATTCCTTTCAGTTTGATTTCATTTTTTGTAAAGTATCAAAAATAGCACATACTACTGTATTAATAGATCACCTTTACACATTTATCAATTTAGATGAATAGAAAACGCCATCAGATCACAATATTAACTCTTCAAAATATATCCAAATTGTTGTCAAAATAAATCCTAAAAATCACTGATGATTTAACAATAAACAGGACCTCTTTAAATTAGACTAAAAATGTTAAGATTTCTTTCATCTGTCATACTATTTAGACAGTTGAGAGAGGGAGAGAAATCGGGTCAAACATCCACTTGACACAAACTAGGTCATTTCGGGATGAACATATGTTTCAATATTATTTTGATAGTTTGCATGCACGTAGGGGTCTTTAGCAGTGGGTGTGTGGGTGGGACCAGGGCCCTTATTCACGAAAACTTAAACTAAGTTACAACCGAAATTTTAAGAAATACTGCCACTTCATTGGATATATGCAAATTGATTTTACTGGTCAGCCAATCGAATTGCAGTATTTCTTAAGGGCCCAGAGGACCAGATAAAATACACAAGGTTGGACAGGCGACCCTTTTCCTTGTCACGTACAAAGGGGGAATCGAAACCATGCCACTTGACTCAATGACAGATCTTACCATGTAATGCGCACGCGTTAAACCATTTGGCCACCCACCCCCCTTTTTAAGATACCAGTAGATGAATGGTAGGTCTTACACAATTCATTTTTGATCACAGAACAGTTAATTAACTGATGTTGAATTGTACCCTAGTTATATCTGGATTTAACCAAATCAAAAGGGTCATTCTGTATTATTAAGCAAGTTTTAAAATGCCTGTACAAAAATCCTCAAATAACTTAATACTGAAACTTAATTCACTTTAGCTTAAGAAAACAAGATAGCAGTTGGTCAACAGTGTATGATTATGCAAATAATATCTAAACAATGCCTTTGCGAACAGGGAGAAATCTGTCAGAGGGATCTGCAATAAAATATTTATCCCAAATTTCTGAATGTTGTGATGTTCGTCCCCATGGTTTAAAACGTCCATTCCAATGAAGAAGTTTAGCACTTCGTAAAAACTGTGTAGTGTAACTGGTTCCTGGTGTCCAGCCTGAAAATAAATTTATCTGATAAATGATTTTATATGAAAACAAATCCGAAAGTGATGACAGGAAATAATCTATTTTCTATACGTTTTGTACAATAGTTGGTATGCAGGGGTATGTTCAGCAATTTAAAAAGGGAGGGGTTCTGACAGAAGACAAAGCCAAATTTGGCTTGAGATGTGGGGAAGACAAAAAATATGTTCTGTGCAAGCAGAATGCAGTTCGGACTCTGTATCACTCTGGACATGCGCATGGTAGAGTTTAGGCTGGACAGTGAAATTAACAAAAAAAATTATTTTGATTCCGACAATTTTTCATATTAACCTAACAACTGTTAATGTGTGAGTAAGGTCTCAGTTATATAAAATTAATCTCTCCTCTGCTGTTGAATTATCTACTGAAAATCAAAGTGAAAGGGAGAGAAATGGAGTTTAACATCCACTCGACACTAACCACATCATTTCAGGATTAACGCGTGTGTGTGTGTGTGGGGGGGGGGGGGGGGGTGTACAGTGAGGACAGACAATGTGCATAGATAACAGTACACCCATTACCCCACTAGGTACCCCAAAAATAAAACTAATGCTATGCAAAATTTATTTTTAAGTCAACCCCATTCCTGAGATCTCGTCACAACAATCAGTGTGGTTTTTAAATGCTAAAAGATCTATATTTATTTATTTATATCTTCTAAACAAAGGGATTATTCAAAAGTTGAAAAATATAAGTTACATAATTACCTAAATATCTGACATGCCACATAGCAGGAATTTTGGAAAATTTCTTGTAGAATACAAGCATCATAGGAGGTTGTGATCCTCCACCACCTCGTTCATTACCATATACTTCTTCTCTATAACATAAATATAAAACATAATCATACAGCACAGAGGTTGGCTTATCTAAATGATTTTAACGTCCACTGGACACAAACTAGGTCACTTCAGGACCAACATATCATTAATTTGCTTGCACGTAAGGGTCTTTAGCAGTGGGAGGAAACTGGAGGACCCAGAGAAAACTCATGAGGATGGACAGGTGCACACGCTAAACCATTTCACTCTGTGTGAGTAGTACTCACTGAGTACAAGTACTGATAAGTGTGAAGACATAAAAAAGTACAATGAAATATCTTACTTTGTGTTAAGTTGCATCCAATATTCTAACTGTTGTGTAATATTGTGTAGTCTCCATTCCGTTATATTAGTTAGAAATAAACCTGTATTAAATGCACATTCTTGTGGATCGATCTTCATTAACTGGACATGTTTACTTTTAACATCTATATAATCAGCATATATATTCTACAATATTCAAAATATTAAATAAATATGTATTATATAGTATTCAATATATCAATTAAATCTATATAATCAGATATTTTACAATATCAATAAATATTTAATAAATCAATCTAATTTATTCAATTCAATGAAGAATACACAAGGTTTTATATAATCTAAATTCATAATCATTTCGTTTTCAGTTGCAAAAACTAACTGTTAAATTTAATTTGTCAATCTTTGAGTATGAATTGCATTTGAAGAGATAGATAGATGGGGTTTAATGTTCACTCAACACAAACTAGGTCATATTGGGACTAACACATTGTATAATTATTATTATACCATTCATGGAAATTCCCAAAAGTATGAGAAAAGGCTGTGAAATGGGATTCAAAATTCAAAACTGAATAAAATTGTTTTAATTCAATTCAAAAGTGTCAATTTTACCTTCATATAAGTGAGTCGTTTAGCAGTACCAGTACAATCTTCAGAGAAGGCGGCAAGATGGCCGGGATTTACTTTGGTTTGATATAATTCAGATATGTCACCTAGAAAAAAAACAAAACAATTTCAAACACAAAGTCTTCAAATCAAAAGGATGTTAAACCCCATTTTATTTCATTTCTTTTTATTTCATTTCGATTTAAACAAACAACATTTAATCCATCTATAAAATAATATAAACAAATTATTATAAGCATTACCTTGTACTATGCAATCATCATCAATAAATATTATTTTACCATTTAAATTCGGGAATAACTTAGGTAAGTAATATCTGGCATAATTTAACTATAATATATAGAAAAAGACACATCTTGGCATAAAATATTTAAAAGATAGCCACACAAAGCGTGGAATACGCCCACACAGCAGCTTTGACTCAACTGCCGCTGATCCGAAAGCAACACTTAGATGTTGAGCAAATTTGAAGAAATCTAATCTCTAGGGTTCATCCTCTGATGACAAGAGAGCTTCCAACTAAATTTGAAAAAAACAAATCTGTTAAAACCTATAGCCTCAATCACGTTCACAAGGTTCTTGATATCTAAAGAAAGGAAGGCTGCAAATTATGAATATCGACAGGCATTAATGTTTTAAGCCAAATATAAAAAAATGATCCATCAAATACTAAAGCCTTTATTGCATTCACAAGGTTTTTCAGAAAAATGGCATAACTCTTAACAGAAGGTCGCAGAATGCTGAATATCGATAGGGTTCATCCGCCTTCACAGCAAATTTGAAAAAAATCTGCCAGGAACCCTAGTCTCTATTGTGTTCACAGGCCAATAGTTGACGGACCGACAGACATGGTGATGAAATAATACACCCACACTGGAATCTGGGCATATAAAAAACAACACAAAATATATAACAGTACATGAATGGAACTAAAGAAAAGAGATACATGTATTGCCTATAATTTTGAAAAGGAGCTAGGGAGAAATAGTATTTATAGTAAGTTACTCTATAGGATTAAATTCTTTATATTTAATCAATTTTTATATTCAATTCTCATTTTAGTGTCCAAATAAATATTAGCAATAATCGGCATTATTACATTGGCTTTTTTTATTAAGACAAGGTTGCATATTAACCTTACTACAGCCAAGCAAAATAAAATCTAAGACTCTATCATAACAATGGTATTATAATGTCATAATATTCTCTGTTGAATTGTTATAGCAATTTACTTTTTACTTCAAGTTCTTGATAATAAAACAGCCACTTCAGTCTCGTGAACAACGTTTAGTTTATAATTTCCAAGAGAAGAGCCATTAAGTATCTTTTCTTTTAAAAAATTCATTATTTGTTCCCCAAGAAATTAAAAAGAAAATTTTAATAGGTGTTCCCAAAGAACAAACAATTCAAACTGGAGTTATATATCCTCTTTTACGGTTTAAAAATCTTTAATACATCAGTTATGTTGCTATCAGATCCATGGAATTTTAACAGCATGATTGCCATGTAAAATAATTTTATCTTAAATAAGCAGGTTAAAAATGGTAGGTATCTTCAAAAGAACCAGATATGCATTTGGGAATCTCCAGATTCTCCATCATGCAAGATTATAGGATAGTCTTTCTACATTTCACAAATCAAATATATATAACTTACTGGACGACCCAATTCCTTTCTGCTACCTCTAACGTTAATTTTTCCCTCCACCCAATTCGCTGGAAATTTCTTTATTTCATAATTAATTGTACTGAGTTTGGACTTTTGTATCCATATCCTGAAAAATGCATGATACATGATATCTTTATTTCAAATAACTAAAAGTAGAGTTAATTACTGGTAGCAAAATATTTATATATTCCAAATCTAGAAGTTATTGTTTAATGTGCCAATAGTTGAAATCAGAACTAAGAAAACAGACATGTTGGTAGAGATCAATGAATGGTAATATCAAAAAAGGTCAAACCTAAAGCTAATTTTTGTGTATAGTTTACTAAATTATTAATGGATGGAATATTTGATCTATACGATCAAACAGTACCGGTGTACAGTCTATAAAACGTTTATGTTCCACATCCTGATTACAGAAACCATGTATCTTTTCTTCAGTTACTATACAAGCCCATAATTAGAACAAATTTATTACCATGGCCATGGAGCAATAGCAGATGTGTCAGACCTCAAGCAGTGTCAAATGAGGGAAGTTTTGTGCCACACATACTAGGGTGCCCCATGCTTTCTGTAATGTTTCATGGAAAATAGTCTTTATTATCCAGCCTGAAAATCAGCCGCAGAATAGTCAGAAGACTACTTTAGCACGACTAATTTGAAATCAAGGGCACATATTTTTCACTCAAAAATGCCCGGATGTAATGGCTGCCTACCATTTCAGTCTATTTTTTATTGATGTTTAAATGGTTATAACTTGTTAAAATACAAAATGACCGACTATTTAGCAACAATAAGAGTGAGAAACTAAATTAAGGCTTGTTATATATATAAATATTGTGGTATAATTGTCGATATATTTGGAGATATTCATTTATGGTGGGGTATCCTTCCATACAGGTATAGAGAGGATTTCGAAAACACACCAAATTAATAAGAAGGATTTTAGGAATACTACATGTATATATACTTTTATATAACATTTATTACATTCCCACAAAATATACCACTACTCACCCTAGTTGATCCATACTTGTTTCATCAGTTACTAAATGAAACATCAGATCTGATTTAGTATTAGATACAATACTGTTGATTAAAGCTATCATACCACCTATAGTATGTTCATCAGATGTAATACAAATATGTATAACTTCCTTTGATTCATTCAACTTGGCAGCAACATGTCGAAACTTGATATTACCATGATAATGATCTGAAAAATACACACAATGATCAACTATACAATAAAAGGAATGAATGTATAATAGTAAGTGCAAGAGGACCGCAATACCGCACCATGCATAACTTGGTTTTTCAACCTGACCAACTATGCCATTCTGATTAAAAAGTAGAGAGAACTTCATAAATCTCATTTTGGAAGACTTAAACCTCCAAACATTCAAACTAGTGAATTAGAGTATATGAATAGGGAAATTACGCATAAATTAGGCTATAGTTAGTAGTTATCACTTTCTTTATTGATGGAGTATTTAAGATGTAAATAAAGTACAATAATTAAAGATCAAGTACCGTTTATTTGTTTATAAGTTATGTTATAGTATTACCTGACTCTAATGATAATTTATTTGTCAATTTAGATTTAACAAGATCAGGTAATACATTTGGGAACCAGAGATAACATAAAGTTCCAATCCATAGTACCACTAGTACTAGAGCAACTGAAAAAAAAATCAAAAATATAAGAACATATTTAGATTCTCCTTAAACAGGGAGCCACAGTAGTACAAGGCTCACTAATCACTAGGTCCTAGAATTTTCGAGCCCGGTTTCCCATGGGCTGTCAACTCAGTGGTGTAGGACAGAGGGCCAGACAAGAAACAGTGTCTAGTTATTCAGATGGAACAAAATCCCCCCCAAAAAACTGGCCCTGAGGTCCTGCATGTTTACTTGTTTGCATACACGTAAAAGAATCCTTGACAGTTGGAAATGATGAAGAGTGGGCGGTAGGGCCTATGGTTAGAACCATGGACCTTATATTATAAGGTCCTGCACCACTGACAAAGGGAAACAACATCAGGATTTTCCAGTCCTTCACATTTAAGGGGAGCTTTTGCTCCTGCTCCTCTCGACGCACGTCAGCTTTCCTTCCAAGGAGTCATTAAAGACTCCAGCAAATTAGCTAAATCGCTCTCCTAAATATTGAGATTAATAAACTACTTTCAGTTTTTGTTTACTTTTAAACTACCGTACATATCATATATTCAAGGTATTAGGAGCTTTTTATAGCTCCCGCACAATTTTATAAACATGAAGTACTGATTTTCCGATGAGGTTTCTCCTTGTCAGTGGTGCAGGATGGAAGGCCTGACAAGGACAGCTGTCTAGTCATTCGGATGAGATGAAAAAACCAAGGTCCTGTGTAGCTTATAATATACATACATGTACATTGGCATGCACATAAAAGATCCCTTGGCAGTTGAATTTCAATAGAAGAGTAAGCCATAGTGACTATGCCTGGGCAAAAATTTCCTCATAGGACACTGCATGGCGTATGTCCGTCTTCATTAGCCCAGTATAGGAGTAGGACGTTAAACCCCATTTCATTTCATTTCCATTTAAGAACATACACAATAAAAATAACTAGGCCTATGGCGGCCTATGGCCTATAAGAACTGAGTTACTACTACTAGCAATGCAGGGTAAACACATATATAGGCCTCTTCCTCAATGTATCTTTTGTGCAATATAGCGTTTTTCATAGTGTCGATATTACCTTTCTTTATTGTACCAAATGCCATAACAAAAACTGCTACAAAGCTTCTGCAAATAAAGAAAAATAATCTGAGACAATTTCTGACACGTAGCCTAGTCGTAAACAACAACCAACTGCAAAATCGGAAAGCTCTAACTGAAGTTAGGAAACCTATTCGTCGCATCCACTGACATTTATTATGTTTCTAATTATTAAAAGGCTGGGGCTATTTGCCACATGTGGTAAGACAATCCGGAGACTATTTGCCACATGTGGCAAGTCTCCGTACCGCAATTATCAACCGTTTTCAATGAAACTTACAGATAACGATAACATTAATAATATCTCAGCGTGGGTAAAATTTCGACCACTTCCGGTTAGCGGTTTCGAAAATATCAGGTTACGACACATTTCATGTGGCACGGCTACAGACCATAATTATCAACCGATTTCAATGAAACTTGCAGATAATAATTACTTTAATAATATCCCAGAGAAGCCAAAATTTCGGCCACTTCTCGGAAACCGGTAACCGGAAGTGGCCAAAATTTTGGCTACTCTGAGATATTATTAATGTTGTCATATTCTGTAAGTTTCATGGAAATCGGTTAATAATTGTGGTCTGTAGCCGTGCCACATGAAATGTGTGGTAACCTCATATCTCCGAAACCGCTACCCGGAAGTGGCCGAAATTTTGGCTACTCTGAGATATTATTAATGTTGTCATATTCTGTAAGTTTCATGGAAATCGGTAGATAATTGTGGTCTGTAGCCGTGCCACATGAAATGTGTGGTAACCTGATATCTCGAAAACCGCTAACCGGAAGTTGCCGAAACTTTGCCTACTCTGAGATATTATTAAAGTCATTATAATCTGCAAGTTTCATTGAAATCGGTTGATAATTGTGGTCTGTAGCCGTGCCACATGAAATGTGTGGTAACCTGATATCTCGGAAACCGCTAACCGGAAGTGGTCGAAATTTTGCCTACTCTGAGATATTATTAATGTTATCATATTCTGTAAGTTTCATGGAAATCGGTTGATAATTGTGATCTGTAGCCGTGCCACATGATATGTGTGATAACCTGATATCTCCGAGACCGCTAACCGGAAGTGGTCGAAATTTTGCCTACTCTGAGATATTATTAATGTTACCATATGTAAGTTTCATGGAAATCGGTTGATAATTTTGGTCTGTAGCCGTGTGGTAACCTGATATCTCCGAAACTGCTAACCGGAAGTGGTCGAAATTTTGCCTACTCTGAGATATTATTAATGTTACCATATGTAAGTTTCATGGAAATCGGTTGATAATTTTGGTCTGTAGCCGTGCCACATGAAATGAGTGGTAACCTGATATCTCGGAAACCGCTAACCGGAAGTGGCCGAAATTTTGGCTGCTCTGAGATATTATTAATGTTGTCACATTCTGTAAGTTTCATTGAAATCGGTTGATAATTGTGGTCTGTAGCCGTGCCACATGAAATGTGTGATAACCTGATATCTCCGAGACCGCTAACCGGAAGTGGTCGAAATTTTGCCCACGGTGGCTAGTTGGTTAAGACGCTGGCTCGGTAGCCTGGAGGTCGGGTGTTCGATTCCTGCATTGGCCGAGAAAGTACATCCAGATTTTCCGACGTGGTTTCCCCTTGTCAGTGGTGCAGAACAGAGGGCCTGACAAGGACAGCTGTCTAGTCCTTCAGATGAGACGAAAAACCGAGGTCCCGTGTATATATTAGAATGCACGTAAAAGATCCCCTGGCAGTTGGAATTCGATATTCTGTAAGTTTCATGGAAATCGGTTGATAATTTTGGTCTGTAGCCGTGCCACATGAAATGAGTGGTAACCTGATATCTCGGAAACCGCTAACCGGAAGTGGCAGAAATTTTGGCTACTCTGAGATATTATTAATGTTGTCACATTCTGTAAGTTTCATTGAAATCGGTTGATAATTGTGGTCTGTAGCCGTGCCACATGGAATGTGTGATAACCTGATATCTCCGAGACCGCTAACCGGAAGTGGTCGAAATGTTGCCTACTCTGAGATATTATTAATGTTATCATATTCTGTAAATTTCATGGAAATCGGTTGATAATTGTGGTCTGTAGCCGTGCTACATGAAATGTGTGGTAACCTGGTATCTCGGAAACTGCTAACCGGAAGTGGCCGAAATTTTGGCTACTCTGAGATATTATTCAAGTCATTATAATCTGCTAGTGTCATTGAAATTGGTTGATAATTGTTGTCTGTAGCCGTGCCACATGAAATGTGTGGTAACCTGATATCTCGGAAACCGCTAACCGGAAGTGGCCGAAATTTTGTCTACTCTGAGATATTATTCAAGTCATTATAATCTGCAAGTTTCATTGAAATCGGTTGATAATTGTGGTCTGTAGCCGTGCCACATGAAATGTGTGGTAACCTGATATCTCCGCAACTGCTAACCGGAAGTGGCCGAAATTTTGTCTACTCTGAGATATTATTCAAGTCATTATAATCTGCAAGTTTCATTGAAATCGGTTGATAATTGTGGTCTGTAGCCGTGCCACATGAAATGTGTGGTAACCTGATATCTCCGCAACTGCTAACCGGAAGTGCTCGAAATTTTGCCTACTCTAAGATATTATTAATGTTATCATATTCTATAAGTTTCATGGAAATCGGTTGATAATTGTGGTCTGTAGCCGTGCCACATGAAATGTGTTGTAACCTGATATCTCCGATACTGCTAACCGGAAGTGGTCGAAATTTTGCCTACTCTGAGATATTATTAATGTTACCATATTCTGTAAGTTTCATGGAAATCGGTTGATAATTGTGGTCTGTAGCCGTGCCACATGAAATGTGTGGTAACCTGATATCTCGGAAACCGTTAACCGGAAGTGGCCGAAATTTTGGCTACTCTGAGATATTATTAATGTTGTCATATTCTGTAAGTTTTATTGAAATCGGTTGATAATTGTGGTCTGTAGCCGTGCCACATGAAATGTGTGGTAACCTCATATCTCCGAGACCGCTAACCGGAAGTGGTCGAAAGTTTGCCTACTTTGCGATATTATTAATGTTATCATATTCTGTAAATTTCATGGAAATCGGTTGATAATTGTGGTCTGTAGCCGTGCTACATGAACTGTGTGGTAACCTGGTATCTCGGAAACTGCTAACCGGAAGTGGCCGAAATTTTGGCTACTCTGAGATATTATTAATGTTATCATATTCTGTAAGTGTCATGGATATCGGTTCATAATTGTGGTCTGTAGCCGTGCCACATGAAATGTGTGGTAACCCCCATATCTCGGAAACCGCCAACCGGAAGTGGCCTAAAGTATTGCCACCCAGCGATGTTATCAATGTCATCATAATCTGTAAGTTTCATTACAATCGGGTGACAATTGCGGTCTTTAGTCGTAAGGTTTTGAAATTCTTGCTTACCACATGTGGCAAATAGCCACTGCCTTATTAAAAAAGTGCTAGTAAAAAAAAAAAAGACAAATGTTATTTTCATCCAAGGGTAGATTCGGTCAAAAGGAACTACACTTACTTCTAACACTTACCACTCACTTTGATACCTTGAATATAGTTCAGAATGCGTTTTTACTTTTTATATCAAAAATTATTTTGGTAGGCCGAATGGCAGAACCACGACCTTGACCTTTATTGCTGTAATCCCACATACAAGCACGTGTTGTGATACAACTAATTGTTTACAATATTATTAAATGAAATAAGTCGTAAAGTTTTGAGGCTTTTACGATGAGTGTTTATCAGAGTGCTGCTAGAATACTGAAAGATGCCTTAGAAAAGAAAGGCGCTGTCAAAACATTGGTTTATTCATCAGATGAAAAGGTTATTTTATATTCTACTTGTCTTTTGCAAAGTAGGTGCTTAAAATAATTATACTAACCCTTAATTTAGCTTTAGGAACGGTGTGATCTGACTATGTCCTCTCACCGATCAAGCGCAGATCCTAAAGGAACTTGGTGCTTTATTGTCATTACCACATGGATTAAAAATAAAAAGCTCAATTTTGTTCCTGTTAATTTCTAAGGTATTTTATATCTTGAATTATTCTGTTGGATGACAATTCACCCCAGTCACACCCAGTGCCAATCTGTTCCACAGAGTATTACGAAAGTCTTCTAATATCTCTGTAATTTAGAGGACTGCCTTTAACACATGCTGTCACAGCACGCGCGTCAATCATTGGCTGAATGGCGCGTGCATTGTTTACATAAGACGTTACTGCTTCGATTCTGCCTTTTAGTCATTTTAATACCCATTTACACTAAATAGGAAATAATTTTTACCTACAAATATGTCAAACGTCTTTATTTATTTTTCTAATACATCAAAAAAATGTTTTAGAATTTAATTTATTGGTGGAAAAAAGTTAATATTTGAGACTCATTAAGTCGCATGGATGTCATCCTTATCAGTGATTGTAGCGGCCTAGCGAATATTCACTGTTGATCAGTGTCTGCCAGTACTAGTAGTAGTAGCAGATTTATAAAATAAGTCAAGCGTTGAGATGTACTGAATGCTGAATTGGGTGTTCTCCTAGATTGACACCTATTTCTACTTAATATTTTGAAACTAGTAAATGCTTAGAGCTACCAACCCAATACTTGATTTTGATGTTAATCAAACCACTTCTTACAATTACATGGTGTTTTACTTTAGGTCCACTTCCATTGGAGTGATTTCTCAGCTCTAAACTAGACAGGTTTATCTCCCCTTATCGCTTAATCTAAAAACTACCATTCAGATTTTAGATAACCTTTTTCTTGAAAATTTAGATTTATATAAGCTTACAATTCTCGGTTGGATATAGTAATACTGTTAAATGTCTGTTTTGCCTTTAGAGCAGTCAAGGGTCCAGCAATGATGTGAGACACAGTGGGTTTAGAGAAGAGATAGCCTACCTAGTCCATCAAGGGTTTGATTATATATAACTGTGAAAGAAAAAAGTGAAGGATGCAATTTCAGAAGCTGTCCAATTTTACTGATAACTAAATTTATTACTGATAATGTGACCTTTGGACAGATTCTAGTGTGATTTTTTTACCCCCAGTCAGATATATATATACATGTAAGAAAGTTCCATTGATTGTGTGCTACACACATTAGGGGCATAACAAACACATTTGTGTAAAGAAATTGATAACTTTTATTAATTTATTTCAGGATAAAAGAAAATTGTTTGCTTTGGTTTGTGAGACACTGAAATATAAGACAAGTCTGTTTAAGATCCTGAAAGAGACAGATATATTAAACACTTATGGATGGAATGAAGAAACATGCAAGGAAGTTTTTACAGTATCTGATGATATAGATTATAAATATCTGGCACTTCCTCTTCTCTATGATTATCTATATGGAAAGGGTCTTGGAAAAGCTGGACGGATCCGGGTAAGTCTTGGCACAGGATGTATTTTTTTATTTTTATTGTTTTTAAAGGTTAACATAATAATATAAGATAATTTTTTATGGCTGGATCTAGTGCTTGGTATTGCCACTGCAGTCATGATTTGATACATATTGAAATTCAGGTGCTACGATACGATTCATATCACGATTCATAACCAGGTCAATATTTACCAAATCAACAACAGGATAAATGAATAATTGATATTTTTAGTCCTGCCGATGTCGAAGAAATAAAACTGTTTTATATCACGATATTGATGTGGATCAATTTTAATCCTGCTGATGTTGAAGATATAAAACTGTTTTATATCATGATATTGATGTGGATCAAAATAAGAACAAAAACAATTTAATAGTGTTAGTGTACCTATGGATAATGCGTGTTGTGGATAATTAAGGTGACAGGTTATTTACGTTAGTGTCTCGCGATTCAATACATGAATTGTGAGAAGGTGAATCATGATACATCGATTCAGTTATCGTGCCAGTACTAGCTGGATCGATTTCATTTGGGTCAAAAATAAAACTGTCTATTAACTATTGCAATAGATTCCCAAGATAAAGCCAGTATTGAAATATAACTGATTATGTGGTTTATTGTTCAAATTGAAATTCAATTTAATAAACTAGACGATTTGAAAATAAATTATGTTTTTCAGTCTCTGATAACTAAACACAAAGGCTTGGTTTTAAAAACATTCAGTAAATTAAAGTCAGAAAAAGAAATAAGTGATGTCATAGATCACAAGGTCAACAAATCAAGTAAGTATATAATTTATACACCCCATGATCAGTGAGGAATGAGAAGCCATGGTGGCTCACTGAGTAAGTCGCTGACTCACTAACCAGTATGTCCCAGCTTTTGATCCTAGTTTGTGATTTGTTGACAATGATATTAGAGCTAGTGTGGAAGTCTTTGTAGCTGGTAGCCATATTTAGGTGCCAGACAAGCCACCGTCTATGTTTTAGTACGGATACTCATCTGCAATCTACGAATACTATGAAATGTTTCAATGAACATACTTTCATCTTTATCCAGTAAATGATACAAAAATGTAGATAGATCTATACATAATATATACTATTCAAAAAAAGTAGGGGATATTTGATTTTTAAGTGTTATTAAAGTCACCTAATGAAACTGACGAAGAAACAAATGACAAAATGAAATGAAGTTCACATTCATCGATTTATTCCAAATGATCGTTAGACTAAGTAAGGCACAGACTGACCATTATAAGGGTAAAATGATACCCGGGGTCAAACAGCAAAGTTACCACAGCATCACAACCAAGTCAGTTACGGGTAAATCCTCCTCTGTTTGCCAAACAAGCATTGATCCGACGTGGCATACTCCTAATGAGACGTCTAAGGTCATTTTGGTCCAGATTGTCCCATTCCTGTTGCAACGCAGCAGCAAGTTCTTGGACATTGGCAGGACGTTGTTGACGTTGACGTAACCTCTGTCCAAGCATGTCCCAGACATGCTCGATGGTAATGTGGTGATGTTCTGTTGTTGGAGGTAACCTGTAACGATCCTGGCCCTGTGACATCTTGCGTTGTCATCCTGGAAGATGAAACGGCGGCCATGACGTCGTGCGAACGGCACAACATGGACTGCCAAGATGTTGTCCCGGTAGTACTGGCCTGTAACACGCCCTGCAACAACATGTAAAGCCGTTCTTCCAGCAACAGTGATGCCTCCCCACACCATAACAGAACCACCCCCAAATCGATCATGTCTGATGACGTTAACGTCTTGGAAGCGCTCGTTTCGACGACGCCACACCCTCCTACGTCTGTCCAAAAAATCAACAGTGAACCTTGACTCATCTGAAAACATCACATTGCTCCAGCGTCGATTATCCCAGTGTTGACGATCCCTACACCAACGACGTCTTGCCTGAATGTGATGATCTCTCAAACAAGGGATCACGCGAGGACGTCGGGCGCGAAGGTGACCCCTATGCAGTCGAATCCGAATCGTCTGGCCACTCACTCTCACACCAGTGTCTGTTTGAAGACGAGCGCTGATCTAATTTGCTGTGATGACACGATTTCTCAAGGCCAAGGTACGGATAAATCGATCCTGGGCTTGAGTTGTCACCCTTGGTCGACCTGAGCGTGGTCTGTCCTGTACAGATTGTGTATCACGGTATCTGGACCATAGCCTGCTTATAACAGACTGAGAAACATTCATCGTCCGCGCCACAACCGCCTGTGTTGTGCCGATCTGTAGCATGCCAAGGGCACGTAACCTTTCATTTTGGGTAAGCCGACGCATATCAAAATTTGTTTTCTGGTCACTAAAACAATTAAACTGATGTTTCCACCCTGGAATTCAATGCCACAATGACTGTAACATTCAAAGTCAGAGTCGTGCAAATCTTGGGTTGGACCCCCATGATGATCCCAAGCATCACCTGCATTCCATGCGGTAGCTATTGGTGCGTTTGGGCGTCACATGTAACTGGAAATGTTTCTTCTGTTAGGTTCTATAGTGACTTTTTTCGTAGTCATTTGCATATTTTAGTATTATGCCCCCAAAATCAAATATCCCCTACTTTTTTTGAATAGTATATAACAACCACCTGCATTTTTATTTTCAGGTTTACCAAGATATGTAAGAGTGAACACATTAAAAGCTACACAAGATGATATTATTAACAGATTTCAACAGGAAGGCTGGTTTCTAAAAACAGATTATGAACCATCATTGTATGTACCATATTTTTGGTTTATTTATTTTTATATTAATGAAACAGTAATTGTCAGCCAACTAGCTTTTGCTCCTCAATGATAGTTATGTCATTTACTCAGTTTTCTTACCACCCACCTGTAATTCAGCATCAGATTAATTTCCTCTATAGTCTGTTTCTCAAAACCTACTTTATACATTTTTATTTTAGGTATTGTGAAGTATTGAAGTCTTTGGCTGAATCAGAATTTCTTGTTGATCCTGTTATCCCTGGACTTTTAGCTTTTCCTCCTGGAACTGATTTTCACAGTCATTATCTAAATGATTCTGGTGCTATAATTCTACAAGACAGAGCCAGTTGTTTTCCAGCTTCTATTTTAAATCCACCCCCAGGTAGCCATGTTGTTGACTGTTGTGCTGCACCAGGCAATAAGACTACTCAATTAGCTGCCATTATGAATAATGAAGGGTAAGAATGGAACCATTTGTACTTACTTCTTTGAGGGAAAGAAACCCACGATCTCATGAGTAAGCTGAAGGGAATTCATCCCAACCAATTTAGTAGGAAATCAATACGTAGAAAAGCATGATGCCAGAAAAATATTTCCAAGGGCAGCAAGACAACGAAACACCATGTATTCATTATATCATTATCCTACTCTGTAACTCTCACTTTGAAAGGCAATATTTTCAAAAACTAGAGGTAACACAAATTGTATAGGCATCACTGTAATCTAATTCACAGCTTACAGCTAAACGTAAGATTGTACAAAATACAAAAAAATTATTTTTGTTTGTTTTATTGAAAATCATTTATGTTTATTATATTGTATTTTGAAGGAAAATATTAGCATTTGATTTAAGTAAAGAAAGACTGGCAACACTACAAGAGTTTATAAATAAAGGGGAAGTAACTAATACAACTGTTCGATGTGCTGATTTTATGACTATTGATCCTACTATAAAAGGATGTGAGAGTGTAGAATATATACTGGTTGATCCTTCTTGTAGTGGTTCAGGTAAAGCTCATTTCTACATATCAGAACAATATGAATACATGAGATTAAAAAATATTTTGTTTATCATTGTTATAGTGTAAATTATGTTATAGAAAAACTCATAAGGTTCTAGAATAAATTCACTTATATCCCATCTAAAACCAAGTTCACTTTGTGCCTTAGAATTTTTGTAGACCCACATTCAAATGTGGTCATCACGCGTGTCCATCGACCAGCATCTGTTTTTCCAAAATTTATACACAGTGTTTATGTTCATGAGATAAGGTCTATTGATTTTCATCGAGTTCTGATTATTACAATATGAGTTATGGCCCTTGATGAGTTAAAAATGTGTTATGCACTCTCTAGAGACTAAAAATAACATTCAATTGACTTAAAATTCATACATATCACAGTGTTATGTTTATGAGATGAAGAAGTCTATTGATTTTCAACTATTTCTACTAATTCGAACAGCTGATTACCATACATGTTATGTTTTTTTAGTCCTTGAATAACTAGAAACCTGTTAAACAGGCATTATGTAAGAGCTAAATCTGCCTATTGCAGGTCTTTCTTTATGTCTTAAATGTTATATAAATTATTATGGATTGGGCATTAATTAAACATACATTATGCAAGAGCTAAATTGACCTATTGCAGGTCTTTCTTTTGGCCTGAAATTTTATCTAAATTATTAATGAGACATTTATTAATTTATCCAGACCATAATCAACTCTCGATGTCATCACTATCCTGCGATATTTATCGGATTGGAATACATTTTTTGAAAAATAATTGAACGTAAAAATGGATAATCAAGACTTTTTTTCCTCATACTGAGATTAGTAATGATATCGATAGCTAGGCTCAGAGTGAAGTAATTTGACTGAAATTTTCAACATATTCCCTTTTAATTATCTATCTTTTAACTATTATAGCCAGAACTGTCAGATCTTTATCTAATCTTACCTAATGCAGCTTTAAGTTTTGTGATCATTTTTATAAGCCCACATTGAAATGTGGTCGTATATTGTCATCGCCCCGTCCGTCCATCCGTCCATAGGCGCTCTAGAGACTAAAGTTCATATCCGATTGACTTTTAATTTATACACAGTGTTTAAGGTCATGAGACGAAGAAACCTATTGATTTTCAATGATTTCTGATAATTACTGTCAGAGTTAAGGCCCTTGAGTGCTTTGAAAAATCTTGTGGACACTTTAGAGGCTAAAGTTAATATCTGATTGACTTCATGTTTATACAGTGAATAAGGTCATGAGACGAAGAAACCTATCAATTTTTATACGCCCACATAGAAATGTGGACGTATATTGCCGTCGCCCCCGTCCGTCCGTCGTCCACAATTTCTTGTGAACGCTGTAACGCCAAAAGTTATCATCCAATTGTTTTAAAATTTATATATGTTATTCATAATAACACAACTTTATGGATTTACTACTTCTTAGTTTATTACATGCAATGTTTCAATACTCTTACAGGTATCTTTATCAAGCAATGAGCAATAATGAATAATAACCTACATTTATAGTACATCCATGAGTAAAAACAATATAACAATCAAAACATAACATTAATTAAGATTTATAACAACAACTATTTCCCTTTGAATATATGTTGTTATATGTTGTTTACATTAGTGAGATGAAGAAGCCTATTTAATTTCAATAATTTCTGTTTATAACGTCTAGAGTTATGGCCATTGTTTCACTTTGTTGAACCTTGTGAACGCTCTAATGCCAAAAGTTAACATCTTATCATTGTGAAATTTATATGCAATATTTAAATTGGGGAAACGAAGAAGCCTATAGAATTTCAGCAATTTCCGTTTATTACTTCTAGAGTTATGGCCCTTGTTTCACTTTGTTTAACCTTGTGAACGCTCTAATCCCAAAAGTTATAATCCTATCTTTCTGAAATTTAAATGCATTATTTAAATTAGGGAAACGAAGAAGCCTATTTAATTTCAATAATTTCCGTTTATAACGTCTAAGAGAGATGGTCCTTGTTTCACTTTGTTGAACCTTGTGAACGCTCTAATGCCAAAAGTTAGGATCCGATCTTTGTGAAATTTATATGCAATATTTAAATTGGGGAAACGAAGAAGCCTATTGAATTTCAGCACTTTCCGTTTATTAATTTTAGAGTTATGGCCCTTGTTTCACTTTGTTTAACCTTGTGAACGCTCTAACCCCAAAAATTATCATCCTATCTTTCTGAAATTTATATGCATTATTTAAATTGGTGAAAGAAAGAAGCATATTGAATTTCAGCAATTTCTGTGTATTACGTCTAGAGTTATGGCCCTTGTTTCACTTTATTGGACCTTGTGAATGCTCTAACACCAAAAGTTATCATCCGATCTGTCCAAAATTTATATGCATTATTTAAATAAGTGAAACGAAGAAGCTTGTTGAATTTCCGCAATTTCTGTTATTACGTCTCGAGTTGAGACCCTTGTTTCAATTTGTAGAACCTTGTGAACCCACAAATGGCAAAAATTATAATCTGATCTGTATGGAACTGTCTTGTAAAGGCCCCCAATTACCTACAAAGGAATAAATATGCGACAACCATTGTTGACAACTCGGACGATTTAGCTGCTGTGGGTGTATGTTTCGTTGCCTGGCAACCTATCTTTAACAATTTCCGATGATCATGGCAATTGATATTAATTCTTTTGTTTGCTAAATATTAGAATAGGGCAGAACTAGAAGCCAAATGGGTCGTTACTCGTAATCAGATTTTAGTGTGTTGTAAATATTTTTATATCTGACAAAAGAAAAAAATAAGCAACAACCCTTGTTGACTCCCCGAACGACTTAGCTGGTGTGGATGTATGTTTTTTTGCCTGACAACCCATCTTTTTGATTACTAATCCTGAATTGATATTGATTTTATCAATGATTCCTGTATTTCAGGAATAGCTGAAAGAAGAAATGAGTTAACCGATGATGTCCGTTCCACGGCTAAAAAACGATTGCGTAAACTCAGTAGATTTCAGTCATTATTATTACAACATGCTCTTTCTTTTCCGTCTGCTAAAAGAGTCGTATACTCCACCTGCTCGGTCCATGAAGAAGAAAATGAACAAGTAGTGGAGGAAGTTTCCCAAAAATTCCAGGACAGATTTCAGCTGGAATATATTTTACCAGAATGGACCATGCGAGGAAGGGATGGGTATAACTGTTCTAAATTTTGCCTTCGTTTAGACACTAATCAGCATTTTACAAACGGTTTCTTTGTTGCTTGTTTTGTTTTAAAATCAAAAAACTCTAATTCTCAATTGGTAAATGATATTAATGGTGGACAGTCAGATGAAGATATGCCGACAAACAGCAATCATAAGAAAAAGAAGAAAAGAAAATTATCACCATCCCCATCTAGAACAGACAATGAAATTTCTGATGTGAGTGAAGTGAAAAAAGAAAAGAAATCTAAAAAGAAGCATAAGAAAAAACATTTATCAGATGATGAAGAAAGTATAGAAAATAATGAAGAAATTAAGGAACATACTAAAAAGAAGCACAAGAAAAAACATTTATCCGATGATGAAGAAACTCATGAAGAAATTAAAGAACATACTAAAAAAAAGAAAAAGAAAAGTAAACATTCGTCAGAAAATCTTGAAGAGGACAGTAATAAACATTCTGATAACAATGTTGAAATTGATTCAAGTATTTCGAAAAACAAAAGAAGAAAAAAAAAGAAAAGTCATGCAATAAATGAATAATTTAATTAAACATTAATAAGAAACCAATCTAGTTAAAACACAGATCCTATTTCGTTTCGTTTTTATAGTTCAAAATTTCGTTTTACTTGTCTTTACTACACTTGGATCTGGAAGAGTTGTTATTTAACTCGTGTTCTGAATGGTGTCAGGGATAAGCTAATGAAACGGTCTGTTACCGCGATCTTTAGGTGTGTTTTTCACGGAACTGTGGGTAATCCACTAGTAACATCAATGCTGATTGGTTAATCAAATGTCTGACGTCATAAGGTCATAAGTCGGTCTTTTGACCCCTGACGTGACCTATCGCTATAACTTGTTAGATCTACATGTAGTGTAGGCCATCGAAAGTATATAAAAAACGAAATGAAATATAGATCTGTATTTTAATCAGATTGATAAGAAACCAAAACAAAAAATTATAAAATTAAATGTTTTGAATTTAGTGGATTTTTGACTTGTTTTCATGATTTATATGGACATACTGTCATATGTTGGTTAAATATGTTAAAATTCGATTCTCTCATTTTTCTAGTGCTGAGATAGAGAGAAGAATTGTGCCTCTATTTTGCCTTTCTAGCTCACAACTATAACACAAAATTTTAAAAAAAATTCTCAGTTGATAGTCACTTGTTATCAGATATGCTGGCAGTAAGATAAGATTGTAGGCTTAACCCTTCGCCATAGAGGATGAACCTTTTCCATTGCCGTCCATAGTAGGTTAACATATTTTGCTTAATAGTAGGACCTATTTTAACCTGCCTACAGACATGAACACGTCTCTAGATAAAAAATCTGTGCTTTGAAAATCTGAAATCCATGCTTTGAAAAAATGCTATGTAGCCTTGTGAATTTGGCAAGATCATCCACCACTTTCGATTTCTGTTTCAAAAGTTTTGTATTGTTGACATATTCCCACCACCACCTAAAGCACGAAAATTACATAGCAGAACATCGCCAGGTGCAGGTGACAGTGAAGGTTTGTTTGCCTGTGGATTCACTTTGGATGTTTCTTTGGGCTGTTAATGATACTGATACACAGTTATAAATATAAATATGTTAATTCTGTTATATTTTGGTTATAAAAGTGTAAGCCTGTTATCGGAAGTTAAATTCTGGAAATTTTCAGGAATCCCCAAAACACAGGAAACTGTGCTTCACCAATAAAACCTTAAAATAGGCCTTACTTAATACAGGTTCTTAATTGTACCGGTAATGCTTATTGGTGCTGACAAGACAATAATATGTCCCGTCATTGGTATCAGACTTCTGTACAGTAAAACAGGATTTGGCAGTTGGCAGAAGAGTAACCAGATGAAAGAAAACTACTAAAGCCCACCTTCTGACCAATCGATATTTTATTTAAATTCAGGTTCCTCCATATGAAAAGGGTACCTGCCCACTGCCCAGCTGATGAATTTTTCCTTGGTTCCTCACTAGAGTGAAACGGCAACAAATGATAAATGAAACATCCCTGCAATTTCGAAAAGATAAGGCCAAAACTCTGATCTGTAGAGTGTTCAGATAAAAATGTTTAAAATTGGTTCAGCATGAAATCAGACAACCAAATAGATAGGTAACCTTGAGAATTAACCCAAGACCCATTAACAAGGAACTTAGTCAAACAGTGACACCTTGGTTAAATTGAGCAATGAAAATGTGGATGTTTATAGTGGAACAACTATAATATTAACATATATAATAAAAAACAAGTTCTAGCTATACGAACTTATAAAATGAATGAGAAGGTTAGTGGCAGTATATTTTTTAGGAGGAGAAGTCTTACGCATTCCTTATACAAATCATATAATGAAGTTCGCAAAATGATTAGACGGTGTGGCATATTTTGCCCTGGCAGAGACGCGTTATTGATTTACAAACACTGCACAGTTTCACACATTTCTTTGTCCATAGAGATTAAAATTCAAAGTACATAAAACCGATTGTGATAAAGTAGTGGCGATTTGGAGCCTCTTCTAAATGTGTGTGTGGGGGACGGGGGGGGGGGGGGGGTGTATTTCCGTGCCACTACACAAATCCCTTTACCATCTAATATATATAATAATAGAGATGAAGTTTTTCTTTGAAGTGCATGCACCTTTCTTTACCAGCCCCTGCTTAAACTCTCAGTGTGCTATAAGGGAGATTTAAACCGACCAGCGGTGCTATAGGGCTTTATTTCAAATTACAACGTGTTTACGGGACCTTGGTTTTCCATTCCATCCCAACTACTATAGACTACTTTCTCGGATAACACTGGGTTCGAACCTGGATCACCTGTTTGGTGAGCCAAACTGAACCACGGTTGCCCCGCAATGTCTCAGTTTTTCGTTCCATCTCAACGACTAGGCAACACCTTTCCTTTAGGAATTGCAAGCGTTAACCCCATTAAATAGAAACCGCGTTTGAAAAATCTCCTCGGACCACATCTGGAATCGAACCGGGATATTCAAGGCGAGAGCAAAGCTCATGTTTACACTAGAACACATACTCTTTTTCAGTGAGAAATGTATTTCAACTTGTAGGGGCACATCACATACACTTCATTTATCAATGAAACTAATTGTAATTCCCACTACTTTTATATGTTATCATAAATATACATACCCACTTTTATTATATTTTTATAAAGTACTAGAGCGTGTTTTTATCAATGGTCCTTTTTGAACTGTCTACCTTAAAGGCAATATTCTAGAATCTCTCCATACAAATTTTCATATAAAGGCAATTGTCATAGATATACACAATATGAACAGTTGTCATACGTTGTAAAAATGAATTCAATAGATCTTTTCAAGTTTCTATACTTGATCGTCTATTGATGTTTAACAATTGGTAAAACATTTAGCCCGATTTATTCTTACACCAAACAATGATGTATTGACATTTCTACCGTACTCTCATATATCTGTTACCCAGTGTACACATGGGATATTGCACAGGGTTTGATATTAGTTTTAAAAAAAATGTTATTTCTAATATTGTGATTTTCTCAGTTTTGTGGTTCATCTGGTTTTGTTTTATATGTGGTGTTAGTGTTATTCGTGAAGTGTTATATCGTTAAGATCGTTTTATTTTTCAAACGAGATACAGATTATGCCGTATTGTGCTACAAAAAGAATTGTATCATAGACCACCGTAATTCCTTGAATAATATCTGTTGTTGAATATGAATTATTAATATTATGATTAATGGGCTGAATTGGATTGTGTGAAAATATTGTTTTATATAAAATATTACTTCATTTAATATGAATGACGTATCAGCTATCTTGTTATAGTTTGATCTATAAAGTTGGACATATTTCATATAACGATGACATCATCTACAAAGACAAGTGCAGTAAGTATTGAAAATTTATCAAATTTTAATACTATAGGGACAATCTCTAAACGAATAATCATTTATTTTGAATGTTTGATCGGAATTCGGTTTTTGAATACTAATATTACACGTAGTTTACTTTTTGACTTCGACAGTGTAACACAAAATGGGTTTTTATCTGTAAATATAAATTCTTCACAGATATCCCACAATATATAAATCTAGAATTTTACTTTCGACCAATATCAAATAGGTCTAACTATTTTTCTTGCGATTTTGTAATAGAATGGGGAAACAGAATAGTCGAAATCAAGATATTCATATAGTTTATATTTTGTTAGATAATATACTTTCACTGGATGAGTCCTAGAGATGCAATTTGTGGAAAAGTAGGGAGTGGTGTCGCTGCCCTGACACCAAGGTATAGCAGATACTAAAGACAACATTATATTTGGTGCATGTTTGGAACGCGGTAGACATTGTTGGTGTTTTGGCGGGTGTTTACAAAAGTTGCATGGCAACACTAATGTGCATTGTTTAATTCCATGTTTTACGCTGTAATTATTGAAAAGGTTTTTTCAAATCCTATTGGCAGAAGGCGTAGCAATTTATGAAGACCACTATAGTGAAATAGCAACAACCGTATATGACAATAATAATAACTGAATAATAATAAAAAAAAGTCTACCACATAATAATAGGTAGCTAATTATATTTCGGCTATTTGGAAGTATATAGGACATTCAGGTGGTTCATTTTTAGTCATTGCGTTAATACAAACGTTTAAACAGTCAATTTACAAGTATTATAGTTTTCATAGCCTTTAACGAACACTGGCACAAATTACCTTGCTAGATTTCTCGGCCATTTGTCCGAGGTGATTTTGAATATGATGTTGCTTAAAGATACATTATGTAAGATTTAGATAAAGACCTATAATAGTTCCCCAAAAATAATTCAAAATAAATATATTGAACATTTCATTCAAATCTGAGCCAAGTTTTCACAGTTTGAAGTTTTGACCAGATGTGGCAAATGTTGTTTATTACCGTGGCAACGTTACATGTTCATCGAAACTCAGCCTCGCTTCTACATTTTAAAATTAAATCATTAAATGGCGACCGCATTTTAATCGCTTTCTGCCATCCGACAGTCTAGAGAGTTAATTATAGGATTGCCATGTGAATGTCTAAATAATAATTTATACAATATTTGAATAATGGATCTTTAAAATTAATTTTCTTTCATTGTGCTAATTCCCTTTTAAACTAGGTGTGTCAACCCTATAAATTTCTTTTTCCCTTTACGATAGGCCTATTATGTTTGAACTGTATTAATGGCTTTAATATACATTTTGTATAGGAATGAAATTTAATATTATATTTATATATCAAATAAAGCAAGAAATAATATACAAACATGTACACTATAAAATATTATATAAATCAAACTACCTCAAGAATACTTTCTGATATAGATAGTAAATGATATATAGATAAATACATGTTGAGAATAAATTATTACATGTCGGCTATAAAATTATGATTTATAATTACAATATATTATATACAATATACAGTCAAGTATGGCAAACAACAGCCATCGCAAGTGTTTGCCTTTCAAAAATGCGTATTAAGAACTTAGTTAAAGTATACAATAAAAGTGTGTATCTCTTTAAAGTTTCTAGGAAGAATTTTCCCGCACAACGGCTATACAACGTATTTCGATTTCCAACAGTCGGGTATCTTTACCATGATGCCCGTGGTAAACGCGGGCTAAACGCATTCCCTTGCAGTATAGTCCACCCTACGTCACTGACAATAAGCAACCAGGATCGAACCCGGGACTTCTCTGGTTAGTGAGTCAATGCCATACTCACTGTGGGTCCTTAGGCAAAAAAATCAGACGGAATTCTGTCTTCATACATAGCCAATACGATATTCGTACCATTAAAGGACAGCATCTCGCATTGAAGGTTTTAAAATTGTGTCGTACCCGATTTGACGTTATACGAATACTTGCATGTCCAGTGTTTTAGGCAGCCAACCAGAAACTTCATTATATTTCAAATCCCTTTATGTCTTTATGTACTTTTCAATATAATCAGAAAGCCGAGAATGATTTTGTCTTTATTTTGATACATTTACCGTTACCGTGGTGTTTAATCTAAAATACTAATATCAGGCTATCGCCCATATTTATATATTGGCTATACGTGCACGCGTCCACATCAACTGGAAATATTTCAACAATGTCTCTTTAAGTAACCAAACATTGATACGTGTTATAAACCCCTAGTGTACACCAAAATCAAAGAAAGAAAAAAAAAGAATATCATACGCAAGCTAGTTGTCACTTCACGTCATAGTGAAATATTATGTCTTTAACGTCAATACATACTTAACAAAATGTACTGTGGGAAGAAGCACTGTTATTACTGTAATGGAAAAGTTTTATTACATTTTGTAAATTCACCACTAATTTTCAGCCACAAGGACGCCCAACTTACTGCATTGGTTTGTATACATTTCTTAACCTGTTTTTATTACCTTAGACATATTCTCATATCACTTTATGCGAGGACTGGGATTGTTCATAGACATATCTAATATATTATTTTGGTTAGATATCACGACGAGCCTGGCACTACCAGTGGAATATACCATCGCGCATCAGGGTTAGGTTTCACCATTAAAAAAATATTTAGCTAACAGATTTTATGATTGTCTGTTTTATACTATATATTTTTTGCTTTCCAGATAGTCAATGGTAATGATGTCTTCCGGTTACAGAACCTGAGTATGCATTTAGGTGCACCAGCAGACGACAGACGTCTAAAACCACCAGCATTAGACCTTAAATTCAGTAAGGATTCCGAAGATTTCATAAAATCAGGGAGTGACGAGGATTATCAGGGACATTATCCGGCATCACCAAAAAAGGCCGCAAAAAGGGATATTGGAATAAAACAAATGACTCATCCGGAAATTAATATTAAACCTGCAAAAAGTCATAAAGTCCACAAAAGACATAAATTGAGTGGACATAAGAAACAGCGAAGGAAACAACGTCATGGTTCTGAAGCCGACTCAGAAACAGAAAGTGATGCCAATACCATAAGGCACAACTCGCGACCTCCAAGGAAACCTTATCGAAATTACAAAGACTACTATGACTCAGAGACACAAGAGATGGGGAACGATCCACGTTCATTCCATCATGCAAAGCGTCAATCCCGAGCACATATCTTGAGTCGAGCGGAGTTGCTCTTAGATCGTCGGAAAAGTTATCCGTATGCAAAATCTGATATTGATGTTGACTCCCCTCTTCCTGAACTGGACACTGGACGATCTATGAGTTTAGGCAACCCAAGCCCCCTCCCACGCGATACTTTGAACGGACTGTCGCGTCTTGCCGTGGACGGTTACAAACCACAAGTCTTCAAACCCCAGCCGCCATTGTATGGATTCCAAGACAAGGATATGAACTCTCGTTCGTCATTTTATCCACCCCAAATTAAAGTCCAACAACCCTCGCAATCGTCATTTAATGCGTCATCAGTAATCAAACCGTACGAACCTCAGGAAACATTGTATAAACCTAATACAAATCAAGAGATATCACAGGCCGCGGGATCTAAAGTTTACCAATATGGCAATACATATTATTCTTACAAAGAAAATAAAACGAACAATAAGCCACCACCTTCTCAAAATCTAGTTGGCAATATAACAATGAACGCATTGTGGAATCTCCAAAAAGAAACGAAAAATGAACGAACTAATATGAATAATCTAACCCCCGGACAAGGAATATTGTCGTTAGCTGGTCATTGGGATGATTTGGAACAAAGTACTGTAATTGAGACGGTCCGTTCTTCGTATAGTGTACGAGATAATAACGATATTGGCAATAAAAGAACAGGATTAAAGTCATTTCGAAGCATGCAGAAACAAAGACGTTCTGAAAATGGTTATGAATCGGTAAGTACTCTTTTATAATTGTTAAAGTTGTACTTCATTGAATTCTCTATATTAAGAAACCATTGCGTTCTGGATGGCATGAGGGGTTAGTCAATGAAACCATCTGTTACGGCGACTTCTTGGCGTGCAATGTACGGAACTGTGCGTAAACCACTAGAAACATCAACGCTGATTGATTAATCAATGTCTGACGTCATTGGGTCAAAGCCCTGACGTGACCTTCCGGTACAACTATTCTGATCTTCATGTAGTGTAGGCCATCGAAAGTATAAAAAAAAAAACGAAACGAAATATAGATCTGTATTTTAATCAGATTGGAAACCATAATTAAAGATTCAAATGATATATAAATTTTTATTTAGATATTTATTCATATGACAAGGCAATAGTCAACGCTAGATCATCGAATGGTTTAGATATGGGTGGGTAAGACAATGCCCGACATATCCACGTTAGCCGTTAATATGGCGACACTCACGTTTCATTTATTACTCTGGCAATAAGAACCATCAATCGCCGGAGACAATAATTTAAGCTAATTTTTGTCAAAATTTTAAACATTCTTAATAAAGTAATGGGATTGAAGCTTTCAATATACTATATTCATTTTTTATAGCCTCATGGAAATGTGGACATATATTGCCGTATTCCCCGTTCGTCCACCGGTCCGTGCGTCGTCCACAATCTCTTGTGAACGCTGTAACACCAAAAGTTATCACCCGATTGTTTTAGAATTGACATATATGTTGTTTACATTCGTGAGGTGAAGAAGCCTATTTAATTTCAGCAATTTCCGTTAATTACTTCTAGAGTTTGTCCCTTGTTTCACTTTGTTGCACCTTGTGAACGCTCTAACATCAAAAGTTATCTGCCAATCTGCATGAAATTTATATTTGTCATTTAAATTAGTAACAATCCTATTTAATTTCAGCAATTTCCGTTAATTCCATCTAGGGTTATGGCCCTTGTTTCACTTTGTTGAACCATGTGAACGGTCTAACGCCAAAAGTTAGCATTCGATTTTTGTGAAATTGATATGCATTATTTAAATTAGTGAAACGAAGAGGCCTATTTAATTTCAGCAATTTCCGTCAATTACTTCTAGCTTTATGGCTCTTGTTTTACTTTGTGAACCTTGTGAACGTTTGAATGACAAAAGTTATCATCCGATCTGTATGAAATGTATATGCATTATTTAAATTAGTAAAACATAAAAGCATGTAAAATTTCAACAATTTCTGTTAATTTACTTCTAGAGTTAAGGCCCTTGTTTCAATTTGTTGTACTTTTTGAAGCCTCAAACAACGAAAATTATAATCTGATCTGAATGACATTGTCTTGTAAATGCCAATTACCTACAAAAGTATAAATATGCGACAGCCCTTGTCGACCCATCGGACAATTTTGCTGCTGTGGGCGTATGTTTCGTTGACTGGCAACCTATCTTTTTGTCATTATCGATCTTTTAACTATGATAGCAAGAACAGTCAGTACTTTATCTATATACACACTGCATCTTTAAATAAGTTATGTTACTGTTAGTGAAATAATTCTTCAATTGATTTTAACGCCAATAGTTAGAGTACTTACCGATTCATAACCATTATCAGAACGTCTTTGTTTCTGCATGCTTCGAAATGTCAGTTGACATTTTCGTAGTATTTAACCAAGAATCTACAAAAATAAAGACAATTTGTTATTATTCATAGCCCATTCTACTATTCATGTTTGATTGCATAAAAGTGGGTTATTTTTTTTCATTTGTGTTTAATGTACGAATATATCACAAATCTCTCTAAAATATCCAGGTAAATTAAATTGGTATTCATTGAAATAACAAGTTTTATGGCAAGTCGAGTTTTTATGCCCCCCCCCCCCGTGATTTTGACAAAAAAAAAATCATGTTCTGGTATTTCTCAACCAATACTGAACATATACCGTGGTCAGACATGCTACAGATCGAACTTACATTGTCAGGGGGGCACAGGGGAGAGTACCCATCACCCTACACACTCCCCCTATAACGACATGATTGCATCATATATGCTTCAACGTAACTCAATACTCTCCGTTTTTAGTTTTGTAAGAAAAAAAACGTACCGAAATTCAATGAAGGATTCTGTTCTTTCATCGATTTATGAGAACGATATTGATTCGTTTAAGCATTACTAGATAACCTTTTATTCGTTCAAGAATGGAATGAGGTTTAATATCTCTTCAACACAATACTTGGTTATTGTATGTGTGCAAGGAGAATATGGCACGAATAGAGGCATTTCAATCTGCACTGCGCCGATTTCCATGTCACGGATTCTTTACGTGCAAGACAATGTGTACATGGGTGGAATTCTTTCTTTGTTGCATCCGAACGACTAGAAGATCATTTTCCTTGTACGCCCTCGTAGGCATTACTATGATAAGAGAAGGCTTGGTGTGATAAATTCCAAGGGTTCTTCCCAACCAACACCTCAATTCGAGAGTTACATCTTGATTTCGTGTGATTCGGTTAGCATCCTGCAATTAAAAGTCCCGGCGTTTGTTGTATAAAGGGAACGTCATAGACATAATAATATAATCTTTTTGAAACTGTGAGACAATACTCTGAATAGTTTGAAATTAGTTCATCCGTGTCACTGTAACTATAAATAATTGAATAGTTTACCCCCTGGTGTTATCCAGTGATGCATACTATTTTAATACTAACCGAATAATATTTGTTCATCGGGTTTTTTTCTTAAAGCCCACATATGCATGTGGTGGTACATTTCGCCAACCTGCCCCTCTATCTGTTCGTCCGTCCGTTGGTCTATCGTTCACATATTTTGTTATCAGAAAAAAGGCTACAATATTCCACGAAATTGATATGGATTGTCTATATCATTGAAATGAGACCTATCGATAACTCACTACACTTTGTTGGGATAACTTTTTAGCTCCTTACAGGCTTTATTTATGACCGGAACTTTCCATGAAGCAAATGAAAATTATATTAAATCTGCAGTCCAAATAATTATGACGCATTTGGTTTAGGATCCATATATATTCATGTATTTCTTGCAACTATCTAGAGATAAACAAGATCGAAACAATATATCATATAGATCCATATTATTTATACGGGTTCAATCCTGGTGTTGACCTAAAAAGTTCCAAGAGAATTTCTAGAGTGGTTTTATATAGTGGCGCAGGACGGATAGCCTGGCAAGGAACAGTGTCTATTTGTTCGGATGGGGGGGGGGGACCGAGGTCCCATGTACAAGTTGGTGAACACGTAAAATCTTTGGCAGATGGAATTCGAAATAAGAGTAGGTAAACCTTAGCAGCGCTTCCCGGTCCAAATCTCATTCATAACACACTGCATAAATATACCCGCCATCAGTATACCGGTTGGTGCAGAGAAGTAGGATGTTAAACCCCATTTCATTTCATAATAAAAGATAGATTGTCAGGCAACGAAACATCCACCCAAAATATCTGCGTCTATAACACCAACAGTGATTATCTGAAATCGCCTTCTTGGACTCATAAATATAAACACTGTGTATAAATCTATAGGCTTCGTCGTCTCATAAACATAAACAGTCGTATCGCCTTCAATATTTTTGAAATTGATCAAGGGCCATAACCGCAGCAGTGAGGATTGGAATCTGTAGCATCTAGGGCCACACAGGATTTTTCCTTACCCTCAACTATATTCAGTTAAAAATATCCAGTATGGAAATGTTCAGTGAAGCCTATTGCCGAGTTACAAACGTTTTAAGTTGAAATTCAAGTAACCACAAAAAAACCCCATCTGACCATTAAAGACTTTTGCAAATACTCTGTAATAAAAGTATAATGAATTCAATTTGCTAAAATTCTCGACAGTTTATTTATGCATATCTAATTAAAATATTCAGGTTTACTGTGAAGATTTAGGACAGAAATTTATTATTTTTTCACTGAAAATTTTCATAAAACGCAAAAAAATAATTGATTTCATTTTTCCGTTATATATAATAAGCGTCTTTAACGCCACAATGACTTCTTGTTAATTAAAATTACATATTAAATGGCTATTAATAATGCCATTATAGCTTTACATACATGAAAGACTGGCACTGTAGTTATTGAATTATATATTCTCTTTAGAAATTTTCAGAACGACATTTTCTTTCATAACCGGTAATTAAAAGCAACAAACAACCGGATTTGGGGTTTTCATGCTTTAACTTTCACAAAAATATACAAAAATATGGAGGTATAGGAATCGTCATGCTTGTTTTGCTATTAAAAAGTCATAACGTATTTGAACTCATCGATAAAGTACTTATTGTTAAGAAACCAGAAAGATGACATACCATCAATAATATTAAACCGACTATTCCCAAGACAGCCTCTCTACCAGGTTACACGTCACTGATTTAGTTGTTCTTCGTCATCTTGTCATGACGCTTCATAAAGTATTCATATTGATGCTAGGGTTTCTCAATAGACCCCACCTATATAGAAACTTTAACAAATATCATCGATAAAAATTGAATAATTGAAGATTCCGTCGCGCCTTAAACAACGAGAAAAACAAAACATACAGGTATATTTTGTCGTTCACGACTCGAGAGTCGTCACATGAGTTAGGGAACTTGCCAGAGGCTGAGCTCGGAGCCATACGTTCGTATGCGCAGAAAAAATGACGGACACAAAAAAATCTGAAAAGTCAACTTACAATGCCAAGAAGAAGGGCAAGGTAGGAACTTTAAATAATTATAAACACATATTATCTCAACTACTTTCTATGGGAATGATAATTATCTAAAATTCTCTGTTTCTAATATACCCGCCCCTCTAAACTGGTCTACCTTTTTTGGTGAAGGGCCGGACGAAATCGGTGTTTGATCTACAGATTATAAAAATCTTCATATTAGGGATGCATTTTGTGGTATTCGTTATAGTATCGGTGATGCCTTTTATGTATCTTTTCTGATGGAATCTGAAATATATTTTTGAAATTTTAGCCAATG